ATATCCCTATTTTGACTTCGTCGATTGTTACATTTTGATACTATACTTTCAAGTCTGAAAATTAAATGCTAAATATTACCATTAAATTGTTAAATATCTATACTCTATAACTTTGTTATTCTCTGCCAAATTATTTCAAAATAACTACCAATTCATCCATTCGCATCTTTTTTAAACTCCGTAAGAGATTCTTATTGTCTTTGTCACACCAAGCAGCACAGATGGCACCCGCACAGCAAACGTTCAAACAAGATTTTCGTATTGAAGGACTGTGGCGTGTCCAGAGATTACAAACAGCTGCCATAAGTAAATGCTTCCATTGTTACTTCTGGTTCATTGTTCTGCTAAAGGTAAATCCGACTTCTGGATCTCCTTAACAAATGTTGCACATAGGACAAGTAGGGCACGCACCAATTGGATATTTCAGCAGCTGATTTAAAGTACAATAAAAATTCTGTATCTCGCTTGACTAGGTTCATACAATAGGGATAGATGAAAACAACTATAAGGCATTCACGTTTATGAAAAAAACTAAAACTTTATTCTGGTTGTTGTTATTGTAGACAGAATTATCAGGTCTAGATGCAGTTTACTTCTTGGCCTTCTTGGCATCGGCCTTGGCGCCCTCCTCGCTCTCAGCTGCTTCCTTGGCTTTCTTAGCGCGAATGCCAACCAAACGAGCATCAGTACGTGCCTGTAAACAAAGACATTGTTGATAAGTAAACAATCAATCAAAATTATGATAAATAAAAATAGAAATAAATCATAGTTAGAACGCACCTTGCGCAGAGTAGCGAATGCCTTGAACTTCTTCTCGTCCTGTGTAACATCACGGAACTCAACAACAGTAGGCAGCTCCTTCTTAAGGGGCATAACTGGTCCTTGCAGCTGGGTAGCCAACTTGCATTCCTCAACAGTAGATTCGCCCTTGCGGATCTTCTTCTCATTGATGGGGAACAGAATCAGTTTGCTTCTGTATTCCTTCAGACGCTGAATGTTGCGCTGACGCGACTCCAGTGACTTGTTCTTGCGACGACGATCGACAGCAATGCCGATGGTCTTTGCGAATTTATAGCTCAAGCCAGCACCCTGTAATTAATCAAATTTATAAATTTAATATTTAAAAATAGCAAGTAGAGAATTATTGATTCACGTACCTTAAGCTCCTCAACGGTGAATCCGCGACCGGTACGCAACTTTGTGTGGTAGCGGATGGTGGGGCAACGCACGACTGGGCGCAGGGGACCGCTAGCGGGACGTGGGAAGACTGCCTTGGCCTTCTTGACACGGTTCTCGTGTCTGCGGATCTTGCGCGCCGGCTGGTTGAACCAGGTGCGCACATGACGCTGCCACCACTTGTGGTAATGCTGGTTTGGAATCATATTGTTACCCTTACCCATCTTGGCGGTTTAGATTAGCTGCAATAAACAATCGCAAAAATACACACACATAAATATATATAGATATTTGCATTATAACCCAATAACGACGAGTAACACCACGTGGCTGGCTTATTTTTTCATATTTTATCGACTATTTTAACATAATTTTCAACATATTGGATGTTAATTCATAGCCTAATTGGCGGTCCATCTTTGTATCTTTTAATCTCAAAATATTGTGTGTCAGTGTTTATTAAAATGTATTTATTTCTATGCGTTGTAAAATTCCACACACCTTTTGCTACCCAACAACGAATCAAAAAGAAAATCGCAACCAACTTCACGTCATGAATATACAGTAATAAAAATTTCCCTTACAAATTACCCTTGCTGTCGCACAAATTTCCCCAGCTATCGATTGGTGATGCAATCAGTGTTAGCAAAAATTCCATACAGTTTACATTTTACCGCTGCCGGACGTAAAATAAATGTCAACTGCGCAGCGATTATAATGTGTCTAACAATTAAAAATAGAAAAAATACAATTTGTGCGCATCTGTGACATACAATACAACCATTTGCCTTATCGATTGACTACTCTGTCGCGTGGCAACTCTGAACTGTACTTTCTGATACAGATAAAAAACTATTGACTATTGAACTGACTATCTATAATCGAGAAATTGCGCGCTTATTTTTTGTGGCATCGGTAATCAGATATCAATAAACAACCAAAATAAACTAAAAAATGAACGACGGAGTGGCTAGTTCGCCAATGGTTGTTGAAGCCAAATACGAAGATGTCTCGCAGCTCAATTTTTCCAAGCTGTACTCGCCCAAAATGAAAAGCGTCTATTGGCGCTACTTCGGCTTTCCATCGAACGATAATGACGAGGTAATTACCAAGCAGAATGTTGTGTGCATCAAATGCCACAAAGTGTTGACCAACCATGGCAATACAACCAATTTGCGTGCGCATTTGCAACATCGCCACAAGGACCTGTTCAAGGCCCTGTGTCAAGAGAACGATATCCAAGTTCCACCGCGCAAGACGCCGCGTAATCTTAATCATCCGCCGTTGTCCAAGCGCAATGTCTCCACGCGCCGTGTCAAATTGGAATACGTTAACAATCGCACTCATCATGAGAATGATGAAGATGAGGATATGGACGAGGCTGCCGCAGCCGCAGCTGCCATGCAGGCCGAAGACGATGCCGCTTCTCAGACAATGCTCTATGAGACGATGGTACCTTTAACCTATGACGATGCCGAGAATCTGGTTGAAGAGGAAGATCGCTCAATAAGCATCGAGCAGCGTGATCTTAAGTATGCGCGTAAGCGCAAAAGTACAGCTGCGTCCGGCACAATGCATTTTACGCGCGCAAATATCAAGCATGAAGAGGGCACTGGAGGCATGCAGGTGCGCAGCTATATTACCAATTTGCCGGAGGCTTTAGCTGATATTGTTGTGCATGACCTGCGCACCGTGGAGACATTGTATGACCAGGGCATTAGCGAGTTTATACGCCTGGCCATGGGCAATTTGCCATCGCTGCCCATGCCGCAGAAGATTGACGCTTTGATCACCGAGCAGCATGCATTGAAATTCGCTGAAATAGGCGATTTTACTCGCGACTTTACGGCCGAGAAGCCCTATTCGCTGGCCTTTGAGCAATGGATGAACGTGGAGCAGAGGCGATTCCTTAGCATCTATCATCACTATTTGAGTGATGAGACGCAGTGCGTCCGCAGCGTCATGTATGCTACCATAGAGTATACCGAGTACATCTCATTCGATGAAGTGCTTGCCGACTTCTATTTGCCCAATTGTACGCTGGCCATAGTCAGCTATGACGATGAGGATGATCTGTTGCAGAGCTATCTCAAAGAGAAAAGTAAGTAAAATCATATTCTTTATAAATTCCTATAAGTTGACTGAGATGTGCAGGGTATATACTATGTATATAAACACTCCAATTTAACAGACTTAGTTTGACTAGCAATAGTTCATCCAGTCTACAAGGCTACTTATCTTGATTCATTTAGTCAACATGGAAAGCAGTTACTAACTGCATTTATCTTATCCTCTATTAAATGTTTATTGAACCACCGTACAGATATACCCGTTGTGCTCTGCTATGTATCGGTGATTGACAAGTGTCTGCGCCATGTCTTTGAGCTGGAGGAGGTGGCCACAGCACTGGAGCAGGTTAAAGATATCATACAACGTCATTCGGCAGAGATTAGTTCCAAAGTGTCGGAGTTGCCGGCCTATAATGAGCACTTCCCGTGGACTCTGTATGAGCTGCTTAAGTTCTTTGCTGAGTCCATATCTTGGTCCGAAGATATGGATCAATTGGTCATCACAGCCAAAACTGTTACTGAAGCGCTCAGCGCTCTAGTGGTAAGCCCAGAAGACATTCAACTTTATACACAAAAATATAATAAAATATTGAATTTGTCTACTAGATTGCATTGGACACGTTGCGTGGCGAAGACATGCCACTGTGCAGCATGTTGTCACCCATTACTTCAAAGATATTGATCAAGAAACTGGGTATTGCAGAGCAGGATGAGCCTCTGATGATGAACATCAAACGTACGATTGCAAGTGTGTTGCAATCACAGATTATTGCAAATGATACGCTGACCAGCGCTGCGCTGCTTGATCCGCGTTTCCATCGGCTAACCACAATTGATAATCTTGACAGCTGTGTGCGTATGCTAACACAGAAGTACAATAAGGCGTTTGGCGGATCGATGGGCACAGATAGCCAGAGTGGAGATTCGACTGAGGTGGCACCCGCTGCAGCTGTAAGCAACACTCCAACAGTTACCATTAAAACTGAGCCAAATGTCAAGTCGGGCAGTAGCTCGACAGTCGCAGTTGCCGCTTCGCATAACGCGAAGAAATCAAGTAAGTTGACTAGTTGTAACATATGTAAGCAATTATTGAATTAATTTGAAATGGATTTTCTGTAGAATTGGAACTGCTGTTTGATGTTGCAGAGATACCAAGTCCTCCAAAGCGAGATGCCGATAGCACGGTGGAAACGGATCTCAAGCGTTATCGCAACGAGGTGATTGTGCAGCTGGACGAGTCGCCCTTTGAGTGGTGGAACAAGATGGGTCATATCTATGGAACGCTGCGTGATTTGGCTACACTATATCAGGGTGTACCTGGCGTTGTAAATCTAAACTTCAAAAAGGTGTTGCGCGAACAGATTTATGATTACAATAAGCGTTTTATGCTAACTGGCAGTCAGAATCAGATCGATGCGATACTGTTTTTGAATCGTAGCAGCAGCTTAAAGGACACAATATATGTTTAATAGATTTTAATGTTTTTAACTGTATGGGATATGCATATTTCTAACTCTGCAATTCTGTAATCTGTAATTAAATATACATACAATAATATCCACAAGGAAATTGAATTTGGAGCAAGAGGAAATGGCGGCCTATTAGTGTCGGAGGGAAATTATTACAGAAATATTACAGTATTCAAACAAAAAGTGGAAAATTACCAAATGCAACTCTGCATGTGTTAGTGTTGTAAATTATGCAAGTTTTTTGACATTTTACAGCACTTAACCATTTTTGGTAATGCCAGACAGTTAAAACTTGCCCCTTATCAAGTTATTGCCACTGAACACATAAAACAAAAAAGTTAACAAATAATTTTAATTTGCATATTGCAGCTTAGCCTTAATTGTTTTGTGTAGTGTGTGTGTTGTGTCTATTGTGAAACAGGCAACATCAACATGTGCGCTAAACGCTTGCTAACAGTGCGTGGGTGTAAGAGACGTTCCATGTAAAATTCAGATAGGGGACACTAATCGTACTGAACGAAGAAACCAACAGACAAACAATAACGGGGCGGCGGCAACAATAACAATAAAAACAACAACAACGAAGACGACGACTATTTCGCTGTTGCTGCTCGGCGGCTTTGTCTAGTGACGAAAGCAAAACTTGTAGCGTATCTTCAAACATACAAACAACAAAACCAATGTGCAGGATGTGCCGCATTGATATCCGTCGCTTTTGTGAAGAATGGCGTATCTGGATAAAGCCGCTCCTAATTGTCACCTATGCGATATTCGCGATAATTGTGGTGCCGCTGCTTATTGTAAATTCGGTGAAGGATGGCTTTAAGCAAAATGATCAGCTTATACTTATCGGAGGCCTCTTTGTACTCTCCGCCGTGCCAATTTCCATTTGGCATATCATACAACACGTCATCCATTTCACAAAGCCCATACTACAAAAGCATATAATACGCATACTGTGGATGGTGCCCATCTATGCGTTGAATGCGGTAAGTGGGTCAATGGAAGCGGTCGAAATCGAAACTTTTGATTACTCAAAATGTTTGAAATCGAATCTTAACCAATTATCGTTCTCGTTGAAGTATTTGATTGACTTAGATTGAATATGCTTACAGTGGCTGGGCTTGCTTTTTCCCAAGCATTCCATATACGTGGACTCGCTGCGTGAGTGCTATGAGGCGTACGTTATTTACAATTTCATGGTTTACTTGCTAAACTATTTGAATCTCGGCATGGACCTGGAGGCAACGATGGAATATAAGCCACAGGTGCCACACTTCTTTCCGCTCTGCTGCATGCGTCCCTGGGTTATGGGCAGAGAGTTCATCCACAATTGCAAGCACGGCATCATGCAGTACACTGTAGTGCGACCCATTACGACATTTATCTCAGTGTAAGTAAGATTACGGACATGTGCCACGTCTCAATTTGTTGTATTAGACATGACGAGCTTACTTTGGAATTTCACACAATCTTACAATAGATTAAAACTCATTGCGCCTTATGCTATGCTAATTTCAATTGGAATTCTGACAAACTGTTATAGCTGATCTCAAATTTAAAATTTAATTTACAATCGTTATTTAGTTAAAACAGACACTGAAGAACTAATTATTATGAGAAACTATGATCATTTACTGCCTGCATATTATTATTTAAATACTCTCTTACATATTCTTTGGTACAGCATTTGCGAATTATGTGGAGTTTATGGCGAAGGCGAGTTTTCAGCCAATGTGGCCTTTCCCTATATTGTGGTCATTAACAATATCTCACAGTTTGTGGCCATGTACTGTCTGGTGCTCTTCTATCGGGCCAACAAAGAGGACCTGAAGCCCATGAAACCAATACCGAAATTTTTGTGTATTAAGGCTGTTGTGTTCTTTTCGTTTTTGTAAGTACCAAAGCATTTTTAAATTAAGCTATATTTATACTAAAAGCTTACTTCTGTTTGCAGCCAAGGTGTGCTGCTCAATGCATTGGTATTTTACCAAATTATTGTCTTTGGTGACGTCGGTGAGGCTAATCTGGCCTCAACGCTTCAAGTAAGACTTTGGATGGAGTATCTAATTGCAATTCGATAAACTCTTTGTTTATTTTAGAACTTTCTCATATGCATAGAAATGTTTATTGCGGCTGTGGCGCACATTTATAGTTTTCCGCATCACCCATTCCATATTAATTCGCCACAGTATTGGAATAATCCGAATCACAGCTGGTGTCGAGCTTTTCTCTCCATGATGGACATCTCGGACATGCAGGAGGATGTGACGGAACATTTGGGCGTAGTTAGCAGCTCGATAAGTCGTCGTTTTCAGGGTCGCAGTACATATCAACCACTGGCGCGTGGTCCACGTCGTTCAAGTAGTGAGTCCGAGTACTTAATTGGCAAGCGGCAGGAGCAGACGATGCCAAGTGGCAGCTCCCCACAAGCAGGTAATAGTAATGCCACATATGGCGCCACAACGAGCCGGTTAATTCTGCCCGTCAATGTTGGGCAACTGGGCACCCTAAATGAACACCAAACTCATTCCCCATCTCGATTTCCCTTAGCAGGCGCCGATGTAGCTGGTGATATTAGCAATAGCAACAATTACCAACAACAACAACTTCACTTGCCGGGCGCCAACTTGAAACAGTCGACGCGTCAACGTGACACAAATCAACATCTGCGCGAACGAGATCAACAACATTTTCTTGGCGGTGTTGGGCCGCCACAAGCGGGTGGCAGCAGCTTTTTGCAGGCGCGTACTACTGCCTCGGCGGCAGCTCCGATACCCGAGTCCAACGATGATTATGCGCTCCTGCTGGGCGCGGGCAGATGACAACGTTATCAGCAACAGCACATCGATGTGCTCGAGGATGGGGATGATGTAGAAGTTAGTCAGAATTTGAATGCCTCTTCATTGAGCGCATCGCTGTCTGTTTCATTTGGTATGTCAAGCAGTTTAAAATTTAGCGCCACGTGCAGCAACCAAACTGCATCCGAGTGGTCCAACTCAACGGGCGGGGATGAAGACAACGATGACGATGACGACGACGACGATGACGATGACGACGATGACGATGACGATGATGAGGATGATGATGATGATGAAGATGGTGAAATAGTGAATGCCGAGAATGTCGAACAGATGCCTATTGTGGTTGTGGCATCCACGACGCGTCGTCGACGCGACAGAGAGTACATCACCTAGACCCAATTAATATTAACACAGAGATACTTGTGCTTTCTATATACCAATCTATCCGTTATTTCAATTATTCAATTATCATTTGGTCAATCGATTGGCAAGCCCAAATTCCTTTGTATATTAGGCTAAATACTCACATTAAGCTAACTCTTCTGGCAGCTCAATCAAATTGGGCGATTCAAAATTGCGTGGCCTTAGTTTCGAAAGCGAAAGCAACATCTAATTTAAAACCATAGCTGCAGACATATATAATCGACTTAGAAAGTGCAGACAATTCCATATAATCTTCATCATAAATATGTATTTCTATGTGCATTGGCGAACGAAGATTTTTATATACATATATCATAGATAAGGCTCGAACGTTTTTTACATTCAACTTCAAAATCATAGGAAAGTTAACTAAAATATATACATATATATGCGATTGCTGTGTGAGTGTCAGTAGCTTGTAATTTGATTAGGCTATTAATACCCTGTACTCGTATGTTGCATAGTAGATCAATTGATACATACCCTTAAAGCAAACGATTGTGAATGGAGTGACTGCCGGTCAGAAAAGGGCGTAACTTATAATTGAAAAACACATATTGTATATTTAATTAATGTAATTCTCAATAATATAATTATGCAAAAATTCTATTATTGTTGTATTTTTTCCGTTTTTATCATTTCTAATTGGCGTTTTCTTTTCTTTAAGCACTTTTACATCCACTGTGACACCATTATAATTTTCGTTTTTTTATAATTATGATAAATATGATATTTTAATTCTAATATTACTATAAACTCACAATAGCTCAGCATCTGCGCTAGAGTTAGTTATGCTTTATATTTTCATACTCTTACAATGCTTCATTGCCAAGTATTTTATACAAACTTTTTTCCCAATATTATATCCATTATATGTAAATTATATTTTTTTTTATAGATGCATAGCATCGATTAGCTGCTAGTATATTCAAGTTTGATGCCTTTTACCCATGACAATATTTAAAATATTATATTCAAACAGCCAGATATTGATAAATCTGAATCCTAAAGTAGATTTTTCTAAATTCAATTTTTCGATTACTCAAGGCTGAAATTTTTTTAAATGGAAATTTTTTTCCTACTGAAGCCCGAAATTGCTTCGAGCTTTTGCGCTGATTTCTAAAAATGCATTCCTTTCTATATATATATATAGCATATTGCGATATCTTCTCAGAGCCAACTCGTAGTCCGTTGGTAAACATTCTTTTCTATTTATCAAAACTCTTGCTAGCTGATAAAATGTAAATATCGTGATTCAGAGCACACGCTTTCGCATGATATGCATGTGTGTCTGAATTATTTATCAGCTTTTTAAAGTGCTTTTCGCTGATAGGCACGACACCTCCAATTAATTTAGCAAGTTCATCAAATCAGCGTCCACAGCCATGATAAAGATTTAAAGCGTTTTTTATTTTTATTTTTATTTTTTTGCAACATTTGATTATGTTTATTGTTTTAAGCATTTTTGTCTTTTCATAATACTTGAATTCTAAGATTAGAACAAATAGAAAAAGAAATAATAATAGAAAGAAAAACTATATTACCTGACGCATTAGTTTCTTTTTTGCAAAAGCAAACGGACGATTAACAAAATAGTGAATAAAACAGAACTGGTGACAAGGACAACGTTTTTTTAAGTACAGGCAGAAGAAGCATAATCAAAAATATATATTAAAATGGCATTACGAAAGATTTCGTATTAAAATCAAATTTGCCGTAAAACATAAAAGAAAAACATGAAACAAAATTCGTTAATCGAAACACAATTAAAATACAAACAATTTCAGTCCAGGGTTGATTCATGTTGTGAACGAATGGATAATATTATTAGGTATTATCATGTTTAAATGTATTTCCCGTAAATTTAAAACGCGTTCTCGAATTAAAGGCACACACCAATTGCTTTCGAATCAATACACGCATCAGCAACAATTGTTGTTGGTTTTAGTTGTTGTAGTTCTGCCTGCCGCCCAGTTCGAGAAGGTATCGGTCAGGATGATCCATCCAATCGGCGGCTGTTAATTTGACTGTACGTTGACGTTCCGCCTCCTTGATTTGCCACTTTTTAATATCCAATTGCACATCGCGTGATGATTTATCGCCGCAGCCCCAAACCTGTAAGAGAGTGTCGTTATTGTTGTTGGTACCAATTTGTTGTCTGAATTCATTTGTTTTGTTCTGTTTGGTAAAGGAGAATTTAGACTTCATTTGAATGTACACACACTTTCGCCTACTGTTAAGTCTGGCCTCGATTGAACTTAAATAAATTGACTTTGAAAATGATAAAGCGTCCAAGTTCGATGGCCTTGAATCTAGCAGCGGGTCGAAAGTGTTGTTTTTAAATGCTTAGACTGGCCGTTGATATATATATATTATATTATATTATACGCGATATACATGGGGACATGTCTATGAATTTTTTATACCATATATAAGTATATATACTATGTTGATAAAAGCTTATTGCACATATAAATATAGCAAGAAATATACAATATTAACAAATCAATGTATTTACCTCAATGGACATAAGGCCTGCAGCAATGCCCTTGCAGTCTACATTCTCGAAATGTTCATCAACCGATATGATGGGCTTGCGGGGATCAGCGCCCGCTCGCAAGCCCTTCGGATAGCCGCGAATGCTGGTGTTAAGGTACAAAATATTGGGCTTCTTCTCCAGTATCACAAATCTACAAACCAAAGTTGAACTTTTAACTTATTTGATCTGAGTAGATTTTCCTGGAGACTTACTTGGGCAACAACTGTATCACGCAGCTGCCTTCTGAACCGACAAACAAATGTGTCTCCTTCCACTCACTGGGCGCCGCAATGCAGTAAGTCTGTTTGTCTTTTGTGTGCAGCAGGACCAGCGTCGGGCCGCGATAGCCAAGAACGTGGTGCAAAAAACGATTGGCACCGACGCCATGTTCGTTGGAATCGTATAGCAGGGTCCAGTGTGATGGCATCATTGAAAGTTTATCCTTGAATATTTGCACAGCTGACGAAGCGCTGCTGTTGTTGCTGCTGTTCGGTGGCGTAATAGTACGCGGCTTGGAATACAGAGGCGGCAAGGCGCCTGCCAGTAGCCAGGCCTGTGAGAGTGGCATCAGCGACTCAATGTGCGTGCTTTGCCCACTGTGATCCGTGGCATCAGCGGACGCAAATGGATTACGTTGCTCAATCACCGGTGTTTGCAGCTCAATGCCGCACGATTGTGACTGCTGCTCTAGGCCACGATATGCCGTGGATAGCGTATGGACGCAGTATTTGTGCACCAGTAAAACAGGACGTATCAAATTCTGTTCAAACCATCGGCAAACGAAGCCCAAACTGAGGCTATCGTGACTGAAAAATATAGACTTTGTCACCGATTCAAAAGTCCTGTTGATGGCGCCACAAAGCACTGCGTTTCCAGAGTGCTGCATGGCAATCGTATAGCAGATGTGCAGCAGACGTGTGACGCCCACTTTATCTATGAAATCGGGGTTATCCTCCTGTGCGTACATCTTAATGTAGCTCTCCAGCACTTTTGTATCGTCCATTATTCCCAAAAATCGTTCGCATTGCTGTCGAAAGGCTACGACGCCCAGGTGCTTTGTTGTTGCCTTCGAGCTCACGTGCATTAATTGAAAGAGCCGATGGCCCAAGTCTGTATACCCAGGGAACACTTGAGACTGTGCATGTGTGTGTGTGTGCGTGTGCGTGCAATGAAATTTTGTCAAGTTGCTATAAAACTGTTATCAGATAATTAATTGTGCTTGCTCACCACAAAAACATCTGACACAATGCCATTAATGCCGTACTTGGCACTCGTCTGTTCCTTTAGTATTTCAGCCAGGCGCTCCACTGGCACCAGCTGTGTAAGGTGCTTCTCTGTCACATCGGCGCCTGATGCTGATCTGGTCATTGTTTGTGTTTGTGATTGCACCTTGAGACTGTTATTGCTGCCGTTGCCGCTGCTGTTGCTGTTGCTGACAACAACATCGCTGGCATTGTTGTTGCTGTTCGATGAGTGTATGCTAGATTTGTGATGATGATGGTTTTTATGTTTCCCACCATCCAGAGGAGGTTCACTGCCCTCGCCATCAGCCTTGGCACTCACATTATTGCCCATTTTAAAGTTGTGATTGTGTTGTGTTCGTGGGTCCAAACTTCGACGCAATTTAATTGCAAAAAAATTCCTCAATGTTAAAGGGGCAGAAAAAGGCCCAAAACGCAGGCTTGCTTTGAAACCAGCCCAACAGGTGCAGGGTAGATTTTTTGTTAACTACGCCACAATAAGAAACCAGTTATGAAACACACGAGCACATGCACATATCAAGTCTGTACTAATGAATCAGTTAAATATATTTACATAATTATATTTGCTAATCAAAAAATATAGAAAAAAACCCAAACAAATACAACCATCACCAGCTGGGTAATTTTGTTATCGATTATTAGCATAAACCATTTCAAATGCGCTCATCCCTAGAACTTTAAAAACAAATATTGCGTTGGTGCAAAAGTATACCTGCGTTTATATATTTAATATATATACATATATAAATATATATATCACTCTGTTAACCATGCAATACGCTCAAAACGAGACCACCGTCAGTAAATTTTGCTCTGAAGCACACCGTTTATAGACTTCCATTAATGTCTTTAGTTGCTCAGCTGAGCGAGCAGCTGTTCAGCAAAAATCAGCTGTAAAATTTTAGGGCATTATTCCGTTTCTGTTGAAAGTTCAACAAACTCATATTTGATTGCATTTGTATGTTTGATACTATAACTTATTTGTATCATTTTTAATTGCTTAACATATAAGTGGTATTAGCTCGAATTGAAAAAGGCAGAGTGTAAACAATGGTAGCTGCCGTAAAGAAGCTGCAGAAAAACACAAATTCTGATGAAGATGAGCCCACCAGACCTGCGCAAGTCCAAGGACCGGCTTCCTCTACGTTGCATGGCTCAAGTATATTGTTGGATGCCAACTCGACTAAGAGGAAAAGTGCGTTTTTACCATATCGCCCACAATCGACGGTCCTAACGAATCTGCAGCGTGGTAATACGGAAGCTACATTTTGCACTGTGGAGGTAACGCTGTCTTTTCATGAACGTGCTGGCCAAGGCGAAATCACTGAGGAACACGTAAAAGCTGAACTACTGCGACAAAAACATATTGATTTCAGGGACTCTCACGGATTCACACCCCTGCACTGGGCAGCGTCCTATGGCCAGTTAGTCTCTACGCAATTGCTTGTTGCAGCAGGCGCTAATGTAAATAGTCTGGCAACGGATATGGTTACGCCATTGCTGCTTGCAGCGGCTGGGGGACACAATGAGATCGTGCGCTTCCTACTCGATCGCGGAGCTGTGTCCACGCACATGGACATTGTAGGCAATACAGCACTTATGTATGCAGCAGCTGGCAACCACCCACACACTTGCAACGAGCTGCTGGCCAGAGATTTGGATTTTAGTGCTACCAATGAGAATGGCGAAACAGCATACGCTCTGGCCGTGGAGCACGGCTCGCATCTGTCCCAGGCTTTGCTGGAACAGTATATGACTGCCGTGCTGACGGCAGGAGCACTTGGCAACATTCAGTGAAATATACATACGAGATTCATGGACTATAATAGAGTTGTAAGAAATAAACGTAATTTAAGGTGAATTGTAAATTAGAACTCAAACATTTTATTTTTGCTCTTGCGCGTCTGCTGCTCTTTGCTTAAACTACTCTCTTGCGCCTGCAGCGTAGCGAGCTCTTGTTTCTGCACTTGGAGTTGCACATTCAATCGTTTCTGCAGCTGCGCATCTGTTGCATTACGTGCCAACGATTGCTGCACCTTGGCAATGTCTCGCTGTTTTCGGCGTATGTCATCGGCAATTCGCACCGTTTCCACATTGAGAGTTTTATTTGAGTGTTGCTGCAGAGTATTCGTCCTTGTTTTTTTGTTTGCATTCTCGGCCTGCTGGCTGCCCTGACTTAGCACACTAGTATTGAGGAAGGCAAACACATCTGTGCGTTTCGCCTCGCGCTCGTAGGCCTTTTCATTCGCTGCTTGCTGTCGACGTTGAGCGCGTTTTAATTTACGCTCTACACTGAAATAGTCCTTATCTCCGTTAGCTGCCTCACGTAGCTCCATGCAGGCGTCGAGCGAGCGACCCTGTGGCAGTATCTGTGCGCTTACTGGCGTAACAATACCCCGGCCATCCGAGCCAAGGCCTGTGCCGTGTATGTACCCCATGTTGGCCATCAGTTTGGAGCCTATGCCCTGAAGTTACAAAATAAGTTTAGTTATAGAAAACCATCTGAAATTCATTAAGAAACTTACACGCGTATACTGCTCCCAAGCGCCCAATCTCTCTGTGGGCTTGAATGTAAATAGGCTAAGCTCTACCATGCGTGCTTGGCGCGCTGCCTCGAAGTCGTCCATGTCGGATTCATTCCCTGCATCGCTTCCATCCGTTTCATTTGAATCTCCACTGTCGCTCGTGAGCTCATCATCTTCGTCAGTGATCAGAGGAAACAGTTCCTCAAATGGAAAGTCACGCTCACGCTCCTTGTGCTCCTGGCCATCCAGACGCACGCGACATTGCTGCTCCACAAAATTTACGCATAGCACCCGACCACGATGCCACAGTCGGTCCTGTAACTTAGCCAGAACTGGACAATTGCGTGCAAGTCTATGGAAATCTGGAGCATTGTAATCTTTGATGGATGCTCCTGGCACTAGAGCACCGTGCGAATAGCGACATCGCGCTTCGTCAAATCTACATTCGCCTTCTAAGTAGTAGTTGCATGGCAACATCTCGCGGTGAGTCGGGTTTGTGAAGAGTACGCGCAGTCGTACGTCTAAAATGCCATTTTTATCCACAATTAATTCATCATCTACTCCACATATGAGTGCATTGTGATAACTTAAGGCACCCCAGCTGTGTTCATGGGGCGCCGAGCACTTTTCACCCAGTAGACCATTATATTTCGTGCGTAGTTCTTCCAGTCGTTGCTGATCCTCACCTGGATCTGCTTGCTCGTGCTCCAAGTCAATTAGCTCATTTTGAAAACGTTGTAGTTCATTGTCTATATTATCAGTTGTTTCAGGTGTATTTGTGTTGTTGGTAACTTCAGTTTCACTGCTTCTGGTCAGAGCTAGGAGCTCCTCTAAATTTGTGCGCAAAGCTATTAATTCTTCACGTTGCTGCTCGTCGGAAGTCACAAGCAGCGCCTGCTCTACCACGAGCAACTGAAATTAAAAATAAGGTATTAACGCGTTTTATTATATTGAGCAAAACCGTACCTGGGCTTCGTACTCATCCATACCCTACAGCTGAAGCATTTTTGTTTATAAAATGCTAAAAAAAACTTGTTTTGCCAGTTCAAAGGAACCGGCGACATACTTAAAGCTAGTATGCTGCTCAAGTAGCGCCCAGAATAATTTTTAAAATCAAAAACATTCCATAAGCTAAACCGATTGCTTATCAATAGAGTATATTTTTATGTATTATTATGAAAGTAATTACACAAAAATATTACTGTTAAATGAGGAACAGAATAGTTTTATTCATGGCAAAACGATTGTTTTGCTCACCAAGCTGACAACAAAACAGTGCTGGAAAACGTTCGAGGCGTGTTGCACAATTTATCAAAGCATGTCAGTGGGCGCCACATGCCTTGTGTTTATTTACTTTTAGTGCAGTTGAAAAAGGTCATATAATATGGCTTCGCTTTTTATGCTGGACACAGCTGGGCATATAATGCTTGCACCGCGACTTTTTCTGACAAGCACACACCTGTTGCAGAGATACACCTGCAAAATAAGTGCAGCAGTCGAGCCGGCTGTCCTTGCCGATTTGGAACAAGCGGTGATAAAGCCTAGGAAACATCCCGGCATTATAAAACCCAATTTTATCGAGCTTCCCAAACAGTTGAGCGACACGTTAAAACGCATTGTGGGCGATCATCCTGTGAGAAAAGTGCTGCGTGACAGTGAGCTGCTCAATCGTTATATAAAAGCTCGCCATCCGCCACCAACTCCGTTAGAAATTGAAAATAAGAAGCGATTGATTGTAGAAGAGATCAATTCCAAGATGCCATTGGAACGTTTAGCCACGCTCAGCGAGGAAGAGGCAGCGCGTTGGAAACGGAAACGTGAACTAGAGATTAATAAGCGTTTGGGTCAGCGCACTTACGCTTGGAAACGGTTGGAATACGGTGCATACGAATCTATTGTATATGCCGTGGGCAGAGCTGCCCAGGAGTATGCGGTAATGAAACGCGTGCTCACAGAAATTCAATTGCGCGATGAACAGTTTAAGCCGCGCAGCTACATTGACTTTGGCTCTGGCATTGGCACCGGTATGTGGGCGGCAAGTGAACTCTGGTCCGACAGTATCTTTGAGTATTATAATGTGGACCGATCACGAGATATGAACGAACTATCGGAGCTAATCCTGCAGCAAGGTCAAGAGAATAAACAAATTACGTTGCGCAACGTATTCTACAGACAATTTTTGCCGGCCATCGATACAAAATATGATTTGGTTATTATTTCACATACATTATTCGAGTTGGAAGACAAGCAGCAGCGGAAAGAGATTTTATTAAATCTGTGGCGCAAATGCGATGGCTACATGGTAATCGTGGAGGAGGGCACACGTCGAGGCTGTGAGCTAGTAAACGAATCTAGACAGTTTCTACTCCGTGCTGATGAAGAACATGCGGGACAAACGCTGGCGCCAGTGAGTACCATACAAAATCTTGTAAAAGGAGAGTTAAAAAATTATATTTTTCAGTGCCCGCACGATCTGCGATGTCCACGTCTTCAGGATTTGGCAGATCGGACGCCATGCAACTTTGAAATTGCTTATACGCCACTGCGTGTAAGCAGCGATTCAGCAGTTGATCGTCGAACTTCGACGTATAGTTATGCTATTTTGAAGAAGGGTTCCATAGCAGATGCCACTCGGCAATGGCCACGCATTGTGCGACCCACTTTGGTGCGTTCGAAGCATTCGATTTGTCGCGTTTGCACGGAATCTGGAAATTTGCAGGAAGTCATCTTCACGGCATCAAAGCACGGCAAGTAAGTAGAGAAATCTGTTCCAATTACAATTCGCACATTAAATTATATCCGCTTCAGAGCCGCCTACAGTTGTGCGCGAGTCAGTCGCTGGGGTGACCGCCTGCCAATGGCTCTGGGTACGCCGCAAACTAAGCAAAACAAAGCCGACTCGGAGCCAGCGGAATAATCTGAACTGGCGTAGCTCACAATATTGTTACAGCATTTTGTTAACGATACCCCCGCTCACTAATCGATTAGCTTTAAATATAAAGCAAACAATTTGTTGGTTTAATTAAATACAAACAAATCGTTGCGCAGCGTAAATTTTGTTAATTATTTCGATGCATTAAAATGGCATTTCCTTGATAGTAAATCAAACAGCTAGCGCACCCTCAACATTTAGCATTTAATAGCAAGAACACAAAGAGCTGAAAAAAGTAGAGCGATACAAAGCGGAGCACCAGAGCCAATAAGCTAAACAGTTGGATTAAATAGTTTTCTATAAGATATACGAACGAGTATATAAGCTTTGTGTCTCGCCAATGGTCAGCACTGAAAACACGCCCATTGCTTATGTTCCACTGAAGTTGTGGATGGGTGTTTGGATTTTATTACAGCAAACGGCAAAATGTATAGATTACATATGTGTGGAAAGAAATAAAATTATAACACTCGTGTTTACTATCAGTTTTATGATCAAAGCCTTATCTAATTTACAATTTCACAAGGTTGTAATACTCATTTTCAAATAAGCTTAACAGATATTCCTAATAAACAGTTTAATTGCAACAAACTTCTATTCATATGCATATATGTATATACATATATACAAATTTATATATATACACAACACTAAAAAAAAAGCAAACATAAATGTATTTTTAGAAAGAAAGTTTTCAGAGAAGGAGACGGGGAGATGAGAGATAAATAATAAATTATATAAATTGGTTGATATAAGTTCGTTTAATATATATGTAATAAAATATAAAATAATAAAATTAGTCTTATAGTATAGTAAAGATTACAAATTATTTTCAAAAATAATTTTACAGATGCGCGTCTTATCGAGACGATCATAATTTTTAAGTTAAAAAGAAAGTAAAAAGAACAATATTCAAATTCGACAGTATATTTATAATGAGGTACACACATTCATATAATTATGAAAATTATATTGCTATTCAAAAACTTTGATAAAAGTCTGAATTAGTATGAAGATTTTGATGATGATGAATATATTGAGAGTGATGATTGTATTTATGGTAATAAGTGTGACGAGTTGACAAATAATGATAATGGGAATGATGAGCTTGATGGCTATGATCCTGTGGATATTAATGATGATGAAGATGGTGATGGTGGTGATGAGGAAGGTAACGATGTTGGTGTTAATGATGATGATGAAGACGACAATTATGATGGAAAGGATAATGACGATTATTATATATAAATATTATATATAAATATTATATTAAACATTCTATAAATATTAAACATATTATTTATTGTTGAGAATAAAATTGCATTTAATATATACCAGTAATGGATGAGAATATATTCGTTTCTAGACTTATATAGAAAGATGTATATGATGGACAAACAGATGAACCGAATTTGATCTTCATTATAAGCTGAATATATATATAAATATAAAGTACGACATTGCGTTAGAACTATAATCAAACTTGATTTTTTCTTGAGCAGATTCCAAAAACTGAAACTCAAATATTGAAAATTTTACTATGAACAAAACCAAATTTTTATGAAATATAAGATATTTAAGTAAAATATGGAAAGCTTTGGTCATTACTTCATAGCTTTCAAGTTATTTTGGTAGCTGACAGTTTCTGCGATGAGTTAATGTAGCAGCTAATGTTAGTGAAAATATTTGAATTGATTTTTATTTTTTTACTATATTAAAAAACTGAACATCAAAGATTCAGATGTGGATATTAGACTCAAACCGATCTTCATTGTAAGTAAAGGATTTAAACTAAAGGCCGAAATAATAAAACATATTATTTATAGTTGTCAGCCCTGTATTGGAAAATCCTTCAAAATTCAATTAACAAAACTAGCTGCCAAGAGTTTAAATGTTTGTGTATGCATATATATATATAAGTATATGTAATATGCTTTTAAGGATTGGTCCTATAACAAGGTGTGCTATAGAGCAATGGACTGTGGGTACATAAGAGTGGCATATTGGTAAATGGAAAATATCTAAGGGGTTTGAAAACGATTCCCTTTGGTGTATTTTCAAGATATAACATTATTATTATGATTATGTAACAATTACTTAAAATACAAATAATGATAATGGGAATGATGAGCTTGATGGCTATGATCCTGTGGATATTAATGATGATGAAGATGGTGATGGTGGTGATGAGGAAGGTAACGATGTTGGTGTTAATGATGATGATGAAGACGACAATTATGATGGAAAGGATAATGACGATTATTATATATAAATATTATATATAAATATTATATTAAACATTCTATAAATATTAAACATATTATTTATTGTTGAGAATAAAATTGCATTTAATATATACCAGTAATGGATGAGAATATATTCGTTTCTAGACTTATATAGAAAGATGTATATGATGGACAAACAGATGAACCGAATTTGATCTTCATTATAAGCTGAATATATATATAAATATAAAGTACGACATTGCGTTAGAACTATAATCAAACTTGATTTTTTCTTGAGCAGATTCCAAAAACTGAAACTCAAATATTGAAAATTTTACTATGAACAAAACCAAATTTTTATGAAATATAAGATATTTAAGTAAAATATGGAAAGCTTTGGTCATTACTTCATAGCTTTCAAGTTATTTTGGTAGCTGACAGTTTCTGCGATGAGTTAATGTAGCAGCTAATGTTAGTGAAAATATTTGAATTGATTTTTATTTTTTTACTATATTAAAAAACTGAACATCAAAGATTCAGATGTGGATATTAGACTCAAACCGATCTTCATTGTAAGTAAAGGATTTAAACTAAAGGCCGAAATAATAAAACATATTATTTATAGTTGTCAGCCCTGTATTGGAAAATCCTTCAAAATTCAATTAACAAAACTAGCTGCCAAGAGTTTAAATGTTTGTGTATGTGCGTACGATTCGGGTGGCATCAATGCCAATCCCAGTTAACAGCGGCAGCGAGCCGTACACATTGCCAGACTGACATTTGGCTATGTGTTAATGTGAAACGCGCCCTTTTGGTGACCGCGGATCATCCCTGCGTCGAGTCGTGCTCCTTGCGTGGCCATTTGGCATAACGCTGCGTGCTGGCCAAAGGGCAACTGGTGGGGCGCGAAAACTAACACGTCTCTTCTCCTCACTTATCCATGGGTGTGCCAGCATATATATATATAAGTATATGTAATATGCTTTTAAGGATTGGTCCTATAACAAGGTGTGCTATAGAGCAATGGACTGTGGGTACATAAGAGTGGCATATTGGTAAATGGAAAATATCTAAGGGGTTTGAAAACGATTCCCTTTGGTGTATTTTCAAGATATAACATTATTATTATGATTATGTAACAATTACTTAAAATACAATATTCGTAACACTTCTGGTTAAAGTTTGTACTCTTAGTATAATATGTTGAGCTGGTGCTGAAAATATTAAAACATAGTTGTAAATAGTTCAATATGAAAGAAGCTAATTTTTATGAGTCCAAAGTATACCCAAAAATTTTATTTATGCATATGACTCAAGTACAATCAATCATAATAATATATCATTAATTACATTAAATTATTTAACATCTTTTTTTTTAAATTGATTTAATTTAATTTAATTTGATTTGTACTAAAATAAATCAGAGTTCTCTCTAAACAATATTTCGTACAAGCCTAGAGCTTGGAGGCTTTTTATAAAAATATTTATTTGTATATTTAATGTAATATATAAATATTAAATAAAATTAAAAAAAAAATTAAAATTAAGCTTCTACCATTTTTGGCTTGGCAGCTGTGAGCAAAGAGACTTAAAATTTGATGCAACTATAGAAATATATTAAAAAAAAATTTTCAAATGAAAAAAAAATAAAGTAAAGTAATTCTTTTATTACAATATAGCTTTATCCTTTTGGGGATAACCATTAAAATTAAAAATGTTAAAAGGTGTGTAACAGTCAGAAGGAAGCATGTCAGAGCTCATCTCTTGATCAGGAAGACTAACTGTGGGTATCTAGCCATATCCGTTAGCTCGACCGTGGAACTTCCAAGAACTTGAAATTCCTTATATATTTCTTACTATAGCTTAAGTAGTTGACTTAATGATATCATCTTAAGACCTCCAACCTCAACCGATCGAACTTAATCTTATGTCGCTGGAGCTAAAGAATCTATACTTTAGATTTGGATCTGAACGAGGTTCAGGGTAGTCTTTCACTTCCGACTAGAGATATATTAATTAATTAATTTTAAATAAGTAAAGATTGATTCTTTACATGTTTAATTTTAAGAAATGACATTAGAGTAGATTATACATAAATAAAAATAAAACTTGGATATATATTAGTTTGTTTTTGATTATTATATTACGAATAAACAAAACTTAAAATTTATCAATACAATTTTGCTTATGTGAAAAAATGCAATTTCAAACTGTTGCTCATTGTATAAAATTATGATTATAATATAGAATAATTTTTATAATTTCCAGAATAGTTTATATATATTAATTTCTTATATTCAAGGACTTTTATATCACGTGCCAGGGTTTTAAAATGATTCTAGAAACTTATGCGACTTTTATTACGATGTCTTTATCAATTATTGCTCAAGTTTTCAAGTATTTGTTAGTTCTTAGCACACAAATAAATATATTATATAAATATATATCGTTATTAATGTAGTTCAATATTTATTAAGGAAGCTAATGCGAATTAGCATCATATGATACCTTCCAACTGCATTTGGCACATAAATTTAATTAAGGAATGCATTTGACAAGTCATTAACCCATTTAGTTAAATACATACAAAATTGATATGACAGGATATATAAATATATATATATATATATATATATATATATATATGTATATATATGGCTGTCCAATGATAAACGTTTACATTATATGCTAACCCAGGCACAAAGACACCCCCGCCCTATGGGAACTGAGTGAGCAACACACACACATACAGAAGCGCGTCATGTGGCGCCCCTGAGCCACGGACGTTGCTGGCTTAATGCTCTAATGTGTATATGTCTGTATATACATAGTTATACGCATACCGACTAGGTGGGGTCAGCTCATTAAAAAGGCGCGTTCGCTGGTGTCAGCTGTCGCTCTGTCTCTATCTGGCTATTTGTACTAGTAAGTTGCGTCCCACAACAACAACAACAACATTGAGTGAATTGGTGGCGTTTAGAAAGCATGCGCCGCTGTTGCAACATTCGTTTGACCCACCCAATCAGTCAGTCAGCCAACCAAGCGGCCAGCCGGCATTGTTGTTCCTTTTGTTCCGAGTCTAATTCTAATGTCGACTCCCCTGGACAAAAAAAGTTAAAAGTAAAAAACGGCAGCAAAGTTCTCATACAGTATATAGTCGGTCGGACGAGCAGTTAGTTAGTTAGTCGAGCAAATGGCATTCCGGGAGGCTACCTAGCGGCTGTTGGTGCGGTCTGTGCATCAGTCGAGGCTCGAGCGTTGCCAGGAACAGTTGGAATATTCATGTAGCAAAAGTCGACTAAGTGTTACTCTATCTGTTGTTGATTCCATTGGTGAGCTATCCTTTTAGCCGGCATCTTTCATTCGCGCCTGTATCTTGCTGAACCGTTACAATTGTCACCTCCAAATCCGGTTGAGCAAAATTTCAGGTGTGTGAGAAATTTGCAGCGATCTCTTCAAAGCATACAAAGTGTTCCCTATAAACTCATCTAAAACGATGCAATTGGAAATAGTAAAATGTTGTTAACAGGTAAATAGAATATAACTATTACATTTGGAGAGTGTTTGGATCTCTGGAAATGGTGAGAGTTTTACAGTTTTTATATATAGAGGTGGATCAGGCCATCTTTAAGGCAAAATATGCTAATAAAAATAAGTTATCCTTAGAGGTTATAATTTTGAGAACTCAATTTGAAGACGTCTTTAAAAGTTCTTTCAACTTATCGTTTTTAACTACCAATAACATTTTCTATTGCTGTTAGAATTTGATGCTTGCTCCTTAGCTCTGAAATGGTTGAATTCCCATTGTGCTCAAAAATCATTTTAAACTAATTAATTGATAATTTGATTTTTTGAAGCAAAGCTCATGAGCCATAAACAAAGACATTCTATATAATATATTCAAGCTCTATATTATATTAGATTTATAAAGTAGACAAAGGAAACGCAATTTTTTGTCAATGCCAATAAAAAATATATATAAATATATACTTTTAGTAAAATAATATATAAAATAAAATAGCAGGAAAAGTATATTATTTAAATTTTGGGATTCCCCTTGCTTTTTCGTTCTTATGTGAATTTACTATTACCCCATCAAAAGTCAGGTCGGGGTATCAGAGGGTTAACGATTAACACTTGTCGAAATACTTATGCCAGCACATGAATTTTATATTAATTTATCTATATTAGGTATTTTAAATTTAAATTCAAAGATTTATTTTTATGTATGTATAAGAAAAATCTAAAATAATAATAAAATAAATAATAAAATAATAATAAATGCATCTCAATAAATTTAGCTAAAAGTTTGTTAAATTCAATTCCATATTTCTTGTTAAAAAACTTTGATAATTAGTATATATATATATGTATACTATATATGTATACTATACCATAAACTAAAAAAAATCATTTAAAATTTTATTTGAAAACAAAAGTGAAACTTATAAGATAAGCAACGCCTACAATAGTGGGATGATTCCTGCAAAGCTCATAACGCATCAGCTGATGCGTATCAGTTGATCAAAAAATGCTGTAAAATTAATAATAATGTATAGAGAAAGCATTAAATGTGATTGATCATTCATTATGCTGTCAACTTGATGATAAGCCCCAGACGGCTTGGACACAAATAAGTAAATATATATACATATATACATATACATATGTATATATATATACAAATATGTCTCCGAAAATTTCATTCATTTGATTCCATTCATAGCTGATATATATTTATTATATATTGAATGAAAATGAATGTTGTTTAAGATGGTCGAAATCTGCATTTTAAAAGAAATTTAACTATAAAAATTTATGTTTCAAATATATTTTATATGATGTAATATATATCTTATATTTCATCATATATATTTACATACATACATAAGTCCCTACAAATGAATTATTGCTAAATTGCGCTTTAATCAAATAATTAATTAAAAATATAAAAAAATTTAAAAAAATTTTTAAAAATGTCATTCATTTATATATTTGATGTTAAGTGTTACAAGTTCTGTTGCAAATATTGAACAAATTTGTAAAGATTTGAAATTCATATAAATATTTTTAAAATATTTGAACTATTAATTAATTAGAATTAGTTAATAATTGGGAGCTGAGACTGCATATATTATATATATAATTCCTAATCGATTGTTTTTATTATTCTATATTTCGTTTCTCAAATCACGCCATCAACATGAATGGGTAATAAAATGGGCACACGTTTCGCATCCGACCAGAAACATGTTGAGGCGATGTCGTAATTGTTCTATGGAAACAGCCCAAGACAAATTACTAATCCCGAGTTATCAGCTTCAGAATGAACGACAAACACACAAACAAATAGGGGAAACAATAAGCGATATAGTCTATATCGCTCTCAATAGAACACCCACAACTCAAGCTGACGTCGAGTTCGACGTCGACTTTGACTGCCAGTTCGACTGAGATCATAAAAATGCTGCAAACATTTGGACTTTGCCATTAGACGACGCGTCGCAGCGAATCTCTCCGATAAGTAACTGACATGTATATTATAACTTGCTTTCACGTTCATTTATTATGGCGCTCAGGCCACAAAGAGCTCCAAGTATTTGCCAAGAATTCGCTGTTCATTTCGTGATATTCATTGTCGCATGTTCTAATCTTATCATTTTATGTGCAATTCGTGTTTTCGATGATATCGAACCTCTTATGTAAATTTCATTTTCCTTTCTGTTCATCAATTAATACATCAAATATCCAAAGTCTACTCTCATCAGCTCACGATCTGCTAATCAGCGCTACAGACTCGCGGGAACCAGCCTGTTCAAGCCATTTAATTATAATTACAATTGTAGCTTATTTATTTTTATACTATTTCGCGATGGGAGGAGAGTATATTAGCTTTCTGCAGTGTGTCCTTTAAATTTTATGTGTGTGTATCGTGCCTCACCTGATATAGTATTAAGACTGAAAGCGTGTTAAAAAAGATTTAATAAGTGACCTCTATAGATGAATAATAACTTACATATATATATAGACATATCTTTTATTATTTTGGAGGTGGGATTGACTAGTTTGGCAACTCATAAACCTATACATTTTATGAACTATCTAAGTGGAAAACCAAATAACCTAACAGCCACAGTTATTGCCTGTGAACGAGTATTATGCAGTTGGTTGCGACTGACTGCAGCGTTGATTTGCTTTTATTCAATTGGAAAACTATAATACATTCGTTTCAATTGGGGTTTGTTCAGTCTCGATGCACAGTCAAACTAATTACGGTTCAAAGTCTGAAAAGGAACACACATATATATATATATATATATATATATATATATATATATAAATTTCTAGTCCAACAATTACGATAATAACTAAATAAGCACACAACTTTTATTTGCCTTAAGATGAGTCAACTCCTGAATTCTCAATGATTGAGATTTGCTAATTTTTTGATAGTGAAAGTAACACAAGATACTACTAATATATAGACATACTTATATATATAGATTTTCATTGTGAAGTACTATAAGCTCTTATTGATAAGCGAATTACTGTTATTCCGATAAGATATATATTTTTAAACAAAACTAAGCCAACCGAACCCAACCCAACCCTTTTTTCTAGCTTCACTTTGAGACTAGCTTAGAACTTAGAAACTGCGAATAAAATCTTAAAACTTACTTGAAATTTTTCCATTCCAAGTTAGATTCTAGCAAATGTATAATTACACAAGTAAGTATTGAAGTGAACTTTGCAATATATTATTTGATTGGCAAGCATTATACTATCAATAATATATGGGAATCTAAAAATTCAGAGGTAGTCTACTGATATGACAACTATTTCATAGCTTCCTGTTGACAATTTCTGATAAGAATTTTAACCAATTTTTATGTAGTTTATATAATTAGATTTAGGTAAAAACCACAAGAAGAAACTTAGTATATAAATGGATTTTTTGGTGGCAGCCAGAGAATTGTATAGATCCATAGAATGAGAGCTAAAGCCCAATCATTAATTAGCCGTGATTCATGTGGAGAGCACAAAGAACTTCGACTACATTGGTATTGTGTATTGTTAAGTCGAACGATAATGCTGTTCGTATAGAGCGATCCATTGTTTAAAAGCAAAGAAAATAGCAGCAAGGCCACTAGAAAAAATGTATTACGTAGCAAGACGTACGAAATGTATATGAAAGACATACGATATATGGACTTCTGAACCCAAAGCCCGAGCCCAATATCAATGCGTTGCCAACCGATCGAGGGTGCTGCCTCAGCTGGTACATTTATAGAGCTGTTATCACAGAAGGAAAACTACAATATAACAGGCCCGAAACACTAATAGCCAATGTGAACAAAAAGCGTTAATAAAAGCTAGCAACCAAAGCCGAACGGACTTCGTTTTCAGTTGCGCTGTGATAAAGCTTGCATTGCTCAGATACACACACACACGAGAATTCATGCTCACGCTCACATAGATACGCACACACACGCACACAACAGCTGAGACGCTCGATCATGTCTTTGTGTGCGTCTCAACCGGCTGGTAGCTGCCCCATTGGAACTCGGAGGGAATTGGCAGAGCTAGCTGGGATTATTGTTTGTTTGCTGGCCGCCAGTCGCCGATGTCACATCGAAGACGCTGCTACGCGGTTTGTGTGGAGCGCGCAAAATAACTGAATAATAAAAAAGCAACGAAACGAAACGAACATAAAAGAACAGAATCGAGTATATAGAGAAGACCGTAAATTGTGTAGCATAATAGCCAAGCGACGTGCAATATCATTTGTTAACTGCGATCGTTCGGACACGGCACGGGTAAGGCAAGCACGAAATGTTTGTATCTACAAATTAACGCAACACCAGGAACAATAGCTGTGCGCAAAAGAAAATAATACGAAATTGTTAAGAACTGTTGAAAAGACACAAAAATTAAACATTTTTCATTGGTTTTGACTTTTGCATGAGCTATGTGGATCTAATTTTAATGAGCCATGAACAGTGAAATCTCAGGCCTTTCAAGTGATCAACAAAAAACAAAAATAAGGCATAAATTAAATTAAATCAATTAGACATAAATGAATTACAAAAATAAAAATATATACAATTCGAAAATTGAAAAGTAAAAAATAAAATATATTATTAAAACCGCAAATAAAAAATAATTGAATATAAATTTTATTAAAAATGAATCAAAACAAAAATGAAATACAAAAATATTATAATAAATTAAAAAATAATTTATACATATATAAATAAATTTTTAATCAATTGTTTAGTTCTCCTTAATCAAAATAAATTATAACACAAATTTTTTTTGAAAAATAAATATGTATTTATGAATGCTAAATTTTTCTAAATTTAATAACGAAAAATAAAAATTAACAATATTTAAATATACTGTTGAAGAAATAAAGAAATTGTACTATTAATTAATTATATAGAAATGAAAAAATACTACAAAAAATAAATACAATTTTATATAATATAATAAAGCAAAATAAATAACTAAATGAAAATTGTAAAAAATGCAGAATTAATGCATAAATTTTAGTTGAGCTCAAGAATAAAAAATCTATAATATAAAAAAATTATATTAAAAGCTAAAAACAGAATATCTGAAACATTTAACAATTTATTTTACTTACAAAAATATATTTTTTAAAAATGTTTGAAGTAAAGTCTTGAAAGGCAAAATTATTATAAGAAAATAAACGCAAAATATAATAAAATCTTTAAACAAATAATTTTTAAATACAATTAAAATTAATAAAATCTATGAAAAAGTTCTATATAATAGTAGTTGAAATATATTAAATAATTTTCATAATAATATAATGCATACTAAAATGTACATATATTAAAAAATATTAATATAAAGAAGAAAGCAGTTTGTTCTATATTCCGACAATGAATTTCCGACTATTATTTAAGCACATTTGTTATTGACAAAAGTAATCTCAGTCCTCCACACATATATCGTATACTACACAAACTAAATTCTGAAATTAATCTAACTCAAAGATCGCTCTGGGTTACCAAGCATACAAACTGAATAATAAAGCTATTAATTAGCTGTCATATCATCATAAACAATTTAGAACGATGAATGTGCATTACACCTCGTCAAAGGGTATATTCACCTTTTGTTAATATTGATTTGCATTTTTTAATTACCACATAATTAAGTCAGATTTGAGAGAAAATAAACAAATTATAATTGTCTTCTTTGGCTTGATGTTCTGATTCCCAACGGAAGCAGCTGCTGTTCTGCTCTCCAGATCTTCCATTCTCCAGCTTTGGCTCCCGATCGAGTCTCTCAACCGGTTTACTTCCGAGAGCGGAGTAAACAATAACATTGTAGCTACGAACAATACAAAGACGCACGTAGATACATAGCACAAATACATGTATAAAAATATATACGTATATATATGTTACAAGTGCAGTGCGTATATAATATTTCATAATATGTGAAGAAGATGAATTTCGGGAATACCTTGGCAACGAGGTAAGACAGGTTTTGCAGTTACCTTCGAGTCATTTGTCTGACAAGATTGCTGTTTTCGGAGACTTTGCATGCAAATAATAAGAGTGAACTGCAAATAGAGAATTCATAACAGTGTCAATCAAATATTGAAATTCTGCTGATAAAGTATCAACGTGTGCGTCATATGCAAATGGCGTAGTTTATAGTCTAGCCCTTCAGTTAGCTGATATATGTATATGCATGCTATGAGGGTTTGATTCAGGGCATTGACATTGTCTTCTAAGCTTTGTTGTCGTTCTAAGCAGTTCAAGTGCAATGCCCACTAGTTGTTGAGTGAGCGAGATTAACAGATTGCTAGATTTGCCGATAATTTACATGTTAATGTATATATAGTGGCATACACGTGCAGTTCACGAACAGTTGAAACGCCGCTTTCGAATCTTGACCATGTGCAGGTATGTCAAAGCTCTATAAATTTGCCAAGAATGGTATAGGAAAAGGTTAAGACTTGTAGAAAAGTTAACTTTACCTTTAGAGTATAAAGTATGCTTTGGAAGTAATATATACTAAAATGAGTATTCCATGATTATTTAAATTTAATTTTTAAATAATTTGTTTCATAATATGTTATATCACCAAAATATAAAAGTACAAAAGTGATTCAATTGAATTAAAAATTTATAAAAAAATTAAAAATTAATGTTTTTGGTCCGAAGGACCATGAATAAAAAGTATATAAATGAGATTTGCTTAATACTTTGATAGATTTTATTGGGCATGATTTCGTTTTGGAATATTAAACCCTTTTTGTTTGTTTCTATGTTGATTTTATCCCATTCCTTTTAAAGATCTATGCGCCTGTGTAGGAGCTTGCAATTCTTCAATTCAACTCAATAAATAATATATATAATATTCTACTCTATAATATATGCTATATACATTGGTTCTAGTCGTTTTCCAACTTTGCATATCTATATACGATTTTTTGTAGTACGCCAAGCCATAGCTTACCTTGGCTGTAGTATGCATAGACGCAATACTTGTGAACTCTTATACCATGTGTATACTTTCGAAGTATACTATTTTTAGTATACTTATTCCGGCTTTGCATATCTTATACAAAACAATAGAAGTGTGAGTAGTGTGCTATAGTATTATACTTCAGCATTATATTCGAATGATAACAGATGCTGTGTAGATAAGGTGTTCAGGCTGCGGGTTAAAGATGACACATAATTAATAAATCGTCATAAGGCGATGTCGATTGCAGTTAATTCATATAATGTACATATACATATATATGTGTATATATACATAATTAAGCCTACAATATAGATGTGTTCGAACAATGCTTTTGTTTTGATAATGTCGTTACATATTTAAAACATATATAAAATATATACAATTGTTTTCTACGATTACAATTGTTCGTCTTCCCAGTTGTACCTTGATCTTACGGAATATACATATATGCATCTTATTTCTATTTAAATAATATACGTTTGAATGAAGCTGTTCGTTAATAATGCAACAAAAATGTGGAGTAAATTGCGTGCTACATTTACTTATGTAAATATTAAATATTTTATTGAGGTTGTTTGAGATAATTTCAATATTTCATATATATTACCATTGTATGCCTAGAGCATGGCTATAAACCCAAACATATCTTAAATAAATAGCTATAGATAATCTTCCGCATTTGCTCTTCAATTTTAGTAATTTACTTAAGGTGCATGTTGCACCTTGATTTGTTGATTTGACAAGAAACAAAACAAATATCAAATAACATGCATATTTTTTGACGTCAACTGTAATCGTCATTTGCGTAATTAAGTGACATAAACAAATACGCGGCTTAAAACCGAAAACAGAAAAAAAAAAACAAGTGAGAACGTTACAAGCGGGCGCTAACGACAGCATTATACTCGCGCGTAGAAGAGGTCGCGCTCTAAACTGGAAAAGACATATTATTATTCCGTTTTTCACGCCTTCAAATGGGCGTGGGCAGGCGAAAAAAGCGCTCCAAATAATAACGTTTACTTTATAACTAAAATATTAACTTCTTTATCAGACTAAGCTCTACTAACAATAACAAAAAACAGTTTCGGTCATTACATAAAAGCCAATATACTCTCTTCACTCAGAATGAAAACCAAATATAGATATGCTTGTTTGTATGTATATATATATATATATTAAATGTATGTATACATTGTTAAAATGCATTTATAAAAACCTTTTGGCACAACTCGCGTTTGGCAGCGGGTGGCAAACGTCGCGACTTCGCTTTGATAATTAACAGGTGCAAAGGTGAGCAGCTTACGGTAGTCATCCACATGTGTTACACCCATGATCCGTCACAGTTCGATCGCAGTGCAAAATGGCACGCAATTCACAGAAAACCCGTTTGATCAAGTTGAACATTTATGTATGTTAGCTGCTGCCAGGTAGACGTGAGCTGGACTATGCCCCAATAAAATGTGGCACAGCTCCATGAGCCATGACGCCCGTTGCATCATTGTGAAAATCAATCAAGCATTGCTGCAACAAAACGCATTGTGCTCGAGTCCGAAATTAGACTTCACAAATGAAAAGATATTTCATAGCTAGTAGGCTTCATTATCTAAGTTTTTTGCTAATCGGTTCGTTAGATAAAATTAGTTGTGCGAAATTAGTCACAGCGCAACAGGTTGAAATTTATAATTATTTGTTAGACAGTCAAAAAAATATGAGATAGTTTATTTCCAATTGAAAATTAAATTTATTTATTTTAAAAATAAATATATAATAAATTAATGGAATCTTTGAAAGAGAATCACGAATAAAGCGTTAATAACTTGACATTCAACTCCAATCAAATAATATTTACAATACATTATTATAATATTTTATACAAAAAAAATTTTGTATATTAAAATATATCAGTTTATAATATTTTCAGGAGAGCAGGTACCAAAACATAATTATTTTGTTTTATTAGATCATTTTAGCAAAATCAGAAATTTTTATATTTAAAACCTTTGGATCGAAAGAAAATGTCAGACAAGGCGACAACTTTTTGTACTGGACTTTCCTATCTAAAGTTAGTTTTTATAACTCAGTTCATGCTCTAAGTCAAGCTTTTAGATACGTATATATTATATATACAAAACAATGTGAAACTCCTTAACTTAGAACAAATTATTTCATAACTGAATCTGAACTTGAAGTAAATAATAAAAATAAATAAATTTGTAAAAAATTTAATAAAACATAAATATAAAAACATAAAATAATATAATATAAAAAATAGAATTTAAAATTTTTAAAATTATAAAACAAATCTTATCTTTGAAATAATCTTCACTACAAGATCAACTAATCTAATATTCCAATCGATCAACGATCTCAATCTTAATACTGAAATTAAGTCTTAATTTTGAATTTGAATTATTTTCAGCTGATTGATTACAATGCTATCGGCACGAGAACAGTTTTTTAATAGCGATGGCGGTACTCCCGGCATAGGACTAGGCATTGAGATAGGCGAGAGTGGCACAGCGAAACCGGGACGTGGTGTCTACAATGCCACCACTGTGCCTATGACGAGTGCGAGCAGCTGGCGCAATGGACAGACAAACACAACAACCACTGCCACGCCCACTGGCGCTGCACCAATTGCGTCCTCCAAGCAAACGCCGTTGGAGCCGGTGGTAGAGGACGAGGAGGATTTCCACATTGATACGAACGCGCTATCCAACCTGCCGCCGCGCGATCCCGTGGACATTGAGTTCAAGGAGCTCTCGTTGACGGTCAAATTGGGCTTCAATCGAGGTGAGTGTCGGCATTAGCTGCGATATGGAAGTCTATAAAAGTTCAACCACGACCCGATAAGATTGCCAAAATATAAAATAAACGGCGTTCGATTTTATAGATCTGTACAGAATATAGCGGCTACTTTTTGATGAAGCTACAACAACAGTCAGACCTGGTTAGGCACATGTGGCTTGGCAGTTCAATAAACACACGAGTAACTACCTGTTAGCTATTTTTTAGCAGCTCATTGCTTTACAATTGATTAGATACGACGCCCTTGCCCCTGTCGGCATAGCAATTAGTCAACATTTTATAGATAGAGCAGAGCATACCAATTCTATAACATATTTGGAAATAGGCTATAAGACGTATAAGAGTAGATGCGGCTTACGCTCGAGTATACTTAAACTTATACTTATACTTATACTTATACTTATACTTATACTTATACTTATACTTATAATTATACTTATACTTATACTTATACTTATACTTATACTTATACTTATACTTATACTTATACTTATACTTATACTTATACTTATACTTATACTTATACTTATACTTATACTTATACTTATACTTATACTTATACTTATACTTATACTTAGACTTATACTTATACTTATACTTATACTTATACTTATACTTAGACTTATACTTATACTTATACTTATACTTATACTTAGACTTAGACTTATACTTATACTTAGACTTAGACTTATACTTATACTTATAAGGAGACTTATACTTATACTTAGACTTATACTTAGACTTATACTTATACTTATACTTAGACTTATACTTATACTTATACTTAGACTTATACTTAGACTTAGACTTATACTTATACTTATACTTATACTTATACTTAGACTTATAATTATACTTATACTTATACTTATACTTATACTTATACAGACTTATACTTATACTTATACTTATACTTATACTTATACTTATACTTATACTTATACTATACTTATACTTATACTTATACTTATACTTATACTTATACTTATACTTATACTTATACTTATACTTATACTTATACTTATACTTATACTTATACTTATACTTATACTTATACTTATACTTATACTTATACTTATACTTATACTTATACTTATACTTATACTTATACTTATACTTATACTTATACTTATACTTATACTTATACTTATACTTATACTTATACTTATACTTATATAAGTATATAACACTTATACTATAGTTCTATACAAGAAATTGTGTAGCATTAATTTTACGTATATTATTATTTAACTTGGAAATAATTCTAACACATATATTTTACTTGCTCAGAGCACATTTGAAATTCTTTAATGAGCATTTTCAGCGAAATTAGGTTCATTATAAAAAAATATCAAAGTCCAAGAAACTAAATGTGTTAATTTTTGATATCAAAGGTAATTTGTGACTGGTAATTATGCGAATGATTATGATAGGTTAGCACAACGCCCCATAACGTAATTCTTTCTGTTGTGTTCTATAATTAATTTTATGAAACTTAACTTTTGAGAGCTAATGAAAGGGGCAAAATTTTTTGACTAGCTTAATATATATTTATATATGTATTAAAGAACTATAAAATGTTACTACAAAGGCAAACGCAAACGCAATTTCCGACCTTTGGATTGAAAATTCATTCAGCAGTATTTTACACCTTGAACCCATTGATAATGGGAATTCAGGGTATAATATATTTGTAATAATGTTTATAACTGGCCAAAGGAAACATGACAGACCCCATAAAGTATATATTCTCTTGTTCAGGGTGTCTCCAAATCGGATGTTTTTACTATAATTTTCATCAAATATATATATTAAGCTGTCGTCATGGTTAGGCATAAATTAAGTGTTGCTCAATTAGATTGTTATAAATCAAGTTTCTTATTAGTTCAATCTGCATACAATTGTCATTCAATTTAATAATGGCTTTGAGTGTAATTATTAAATTGCTAGTATTAGCTGAGAAAACGACTTTTATAGAATATTTATTGTGTTCCATTAGTCAATGATTCGCTAAACAGGGTGAAAACTCACGTATTTATTAAAAAATTTGTTTTGAACAGGTGAAAAAGAAATATTGCACAATGTTTGCGGCAAGTTTCCAGGCAGCCAGCTGATTGCCATCATGGGCCCATCGGGAGCTGGTAAATCTACGCTGCTCGATGCTCTTTCCGGCTTTAAGACCACCGGCGTCGATGGTTCCATACGACTCAATGGACGACGACGTGATTTGCGTGAGTTTTAATTGAAATTTCAAAAAGATTTTATTTAATAAATATATGTGTATCCCTCCATTACAGCCTCGTTTCGTCGCATGTCCTGCTATATCACACAGGATGATCGTCTGCAGCCTTTGCTAACGGTCACCGAGAATATGCATATAGCAGCCGATCTGAAATTGGGCGAGAATGTCAGCTATGAGGAGAAGGAGAGCAGAGTAAGCCAAAGTTTTGAATCTTTAAAAGATTTCCTCTAAGCTTGACTGACCATCTTCTAGATTGAGGACATTCTGTTGCTGCTGGGTCTTTATGATCACGATCAGACGCTGACAGGCCGCCTGTCGGGCGGACAGAAGAAGAGGCTATCCATTGCCATGGAATTGATAAATAATCCCACTGTGATGTTTCTGGACGAGCCCACGACGTAGGTGAACATTTTCGTAATGTATTGAACGCAATCTTCAATCTCTTGCTTTGTTTTATCAAATACAGTGGCTTGGACAGCAGTTCCTGCACCAAAGTCTTGGAGCTATTGAAACGTTTGACCACCCAGGGTCGCACCATCATTTGCACCATTCATCAGCCCACTGCCAAGCTATTCCAAATTTTCGATCAAGTCTATGTGCTCTCTTCCGGTAATTGCGTCTACCAGGGCGGCACTCAGAAGATGGTGCCATTCCTGCAATCTGTAGAACTGCCATGTCCCATGTACCACAATCCAGCTGATTACAGTGAGTGCCCCATAAAACTAACGTAAAAACTAGTTCAACTTTTCACTCTTTTCTTTTAGTAATTGAACTGGCCTGCGGTGAGTACGGCTTTGACAAGATCGATACGTTGAAGACTGCGTCGGAGAATGGTAGCAGTCTGACCTGGTTCAACAATCCGGGCGCTGTGCTACGCTCCGAGGCGCTCATCCACAAGCATCCCATACCCAAGCGTAGTAAAAATGTTTCCCTGGAGAACACCAGCTTTATGAATCAGTGTACCGTGCTGCTGCGACGAGGCTATATCAAGTCTGGTCGAGATACGACTCTGACCCATCTTCGCCTGTTTGTCAACATTGCTGTGGCCGTACTCTATGGTGCGATGTATGACCATTCCGGCAAGGAGGGCTCACGAGTTTTGGATAATTATAATCTTCTATTTGCCATATTGATGCATCATTCCATGACGACAATGATGTTGACGGTTCTAACATGTGAGTATAGCTTTAATACTAACTGACATTGGCATCGATCTACTTCCCTTTCAAATTTTGTAACTCCCGTTTATTAATATCTATATAACGCCTTTATTTTAGTCCCCCTTGAGATGACGATCTTAATCAAGGAGCATTTCAATCGCTGGTATTCCCTGAAGGCCTACTACTTTGCCTTGACGCTTTTAGAAATACCCATAACGGTAATTGCCATAGCTGTCTGCCGAGAAAACCCTATTTACTCCATCAATATTTTGCCTTACAGTTTATCAGTACATTCGTGTTCACGGTCATCATTTATTTGTGGAGCTATCAGCCCATGGAATGGGTGCGCTTCTGGATGTTTTTTGTGATCAGTTTGCTTGTGGTGTTTGTGGGACAGAGCTTTGGACTGATAATTGGCGCTTGGTGCAATGTGGTCAACGGAACCTTCCTGGCTCCAGTGCTAACCATTCCCATGATGATGTTCGCCGGCTTTGGCGTCACCTTGCGTGATCTGCCCAGCTACTTGAAGTGGGGCAGTCACATATCGCATTTGCGATATGGTCTTGAAGGCTATATAGCAGCCATCTATGGAATGAATCGCGGGGTTTTGGATTGCAACGAGGCGCCCTATTGCCATTACAGGTAAGGGAGTACATCAACAAGTGCTAGAACCGATTTCTTAATAACTTTCTCTATTGCAGATATCCAAAGAAGTTTTTGGAGGAGATTACCATGTCTGGCGATCAGTTCTGGAATGATCTCATGGCACTGAGCATAATACTACTCCTTTTCCGCGTGGGCGCCTATTTTGTGCTCAAGGCCAAGCTCAAGTCGATCAGATGAGCGTTAACATTCCGAGGAACAAACTTGCCCACTTGTATTATATATAAATTGTTGAAAATTACGTTTAGTGTTATTTTTACTAAATTAATTACATTAAAAACACTTGTTAATTAAATCTATTCACGTAGACCCTATATCACACGTTTCAATTGTTCAGGCCTTGCGCTGCCTGCTTTTCATCGTTCTTGACGATTGTTGTTTGTTCTAATAGCTGTTGCAACGCTTGCGCATTGGATGCCATGTCACCAGAATGGAGCTGAAGAAAGTGGAATGCATTAGATTCAGAAAAGTGCTGGTTACGATGGTTAACTTACCAGGACAACACGCTGACCCAGCGTTCCCAGTAGTCGCCTCTTTAAGCGCAGCAAAGAAGTTGCCGATTGACTGAATTTCAGCGTTTGTTGTGGTGTCAGCAGCTCTATATAGTAAATGCATGCCTTCTCGCCTTGAGTCTGGACACGCAAGCTGGGCAAATTGATGCCAGCAATGGGGCATACCAGGTCAACGCCTTCCACCTCGGCATCTGCCGACAGCTGATTGGCATATGCTGTTAAATCCTCACGCTGGCTAAGCAAATAGGCAGGCGCCCGTGCGAGCTCCTTAAAGACCTGCTTCGTCTTGACGTCCGTCCAGCTGGGCTGCTCTATGGCTACAGCAGCTCGAAGCACAGTCAAACGGCTATCAACTTTAGGTTGTGCGCGTTGTCGCTGACGTTGAGCGGCCTTTAGCTCCTCTGCGGCATCGAATAGCTGCTTTGAATGGTGACCCAGGATAACCAAGGAGAGGCAGGCATCCACCAGTTGGTCGGGAAACCGGTCATATTCGCCTTGATTCAATTTGCGTAATGCAACCACCTCAAGTTTTCTAAGTTGCTCAGCAGTTAGGGTGCAATTAAGCTGTGCGCAGCTCCAGAGGAATGTGGACAAGTCCTTGGCACGCAATTCACCGGGTTTGATGGACAATAAGCGTTCCACAAGCGCTTGCAAGCATTCTGCCTGATCCCATTGCATCTCAGCAAAGTACGCAAATATGTGTGCCAAGCCACGAGGCTGAAGTTTCGATATCTGTGTGGGGTCCAAACAAATGGTCTGTAGGTACTGGCAGATACGCTCATCGTGAACGCGCTGGAAGCGCAATGCCTTGACATAGCAAACAAGCAGCGCATCTTCGGGATCATTTTCAGCATCAAACTTTAAGTTCAAAAGGGCATCCACCAAAGCAGTTTCATAGGCCTCACGCACATCGCCCGTCACCAAAGTCGAAGTCTTATAGGCTGCATTGCTTACGAGAGCCAGATCCAGCGGACTTAGGTTGGGCAAATGATTGCCAAGCTGTGTTGCAAGAAACGTCTCTAAATCATTTTTCTGATACTGCTTCTGGAGGCCTAAGTAGAAACAGATTTGCAAAAAACGCTGCTGACTGCCAGCCGCTTCCTGCGTTAAGCGTCGCATGGCCGCGTGGTAGAAATCGATGCGCTTCAGCCAATTTGGTATCAGAAACAAAAATGCATAAAGCGTCTCCAGCACAGTGGAAATGTCCATTTGGTCTAGCTGTGCTGTTGCATGCGCATCCAACGTATTCAAGGCCATGGCATACATGGGTGGCGCTGCATTGGAACGATAACTGGATGCGTGTATGATCAATGGTGGCAACTGTGAGGCAGCTGTCTTTTGCACAGAGCGTCTAAAGTAATGTTCGTCCGAAATGGGAAAGTAGTCCGAGTAGCGAATGGTCGTTGGTGCCAGCACGTGCTGCTCGCACTTGTAGCGGTCGATGGCTATGTGCTTGGCAAAGCGGGTCAGCAGAGTGCCGGTCTCATCTGAACTGTCGTGCAAAACATCCCTTACCGAGAAGGAGGCATAACATCGCACCTGGTTTAACTTGTTGCTGTTTGTTATCGATGCGCTCGCCAAACGGCGCAGCAAGGCAAACATGTCTAATAGAACTTCAGTTTTATTTATGTAACTTAATTTATCAAACACAACGTGCTTGCCTCAGACCTATGTAAACTAATCAGCCAGTGTTGTAAAAAGCGCAAATTGTTTTGAAAAAACTAGTTTTTTTTGTCATTTTATGTTGGTTGTAGTCTCTGCTAAAAATAATAAAAATTACAAACAAAACAGAAAAACAAAATGATTTCAGTAGTTATTTTAGATTGGAAAATAGTTATTGGAGCATTCGATAACCTCTAACAAAATGGTTTCGACAATTATTATTATTTCTTAAAATATAAAAATATTCAGTATTTAAATAAATATATTTTATACCACGACGGTAACTTCAGAGCGTTATTTTCACTTAGTTTTCAACACTATTGAGTGCATTGCTTACGAATAAGATGAGCAAGAGAGCAGCTGGATTCGTCCTTTTTCGGCGCTTATGTGGGGAAATACAATATTTACTACTAAAGGCCTCATATGGTGATTTTCACTGGAGCGCGCCAAAAGGTCATGTCGATCCCGGAGAAGATGACTTTACTACAGCTCTGCGCGAAACAAAGGAAGAAGCCGGGTAAGTGCATGGAATAAATAAAAAATAATATACTTTTTCATTAATTTTGGATTATAGTTACGATGAAAAGGATTTGATTATATACCGTGACACGCCACTAACTCTAAATTATGAGGTCAAAGGTAAACCAAAAATTGTTATCTATTGGCTAGCAGAATTACGGAATCCAAACCAAGAGGTCGTTCTGTCCGAAGAGCATACAGATCTTAAGTGGCTGACTAAGGATGCGGCAAAGGAATGTGTTGGCTTTAAGGACAATCAAGTGATGATTGATAAGTTTCATGAAATGATATTGAATATGGATAAGAATCGCACCAATTGCGAATGTCCATGAAAATACCAAAAATTTAGTGCTGTAAGCGTTGTCAATGAATGACGGCATTTCAACATTCTGCAACACTGTTTTTAAGGCATCTGTAGATTGATTTTGTTGTGAGAAACTAATCAAAAAGCATTCAATAAATTTAATAAAAAAGGATACGATTTAATTGATTAATATATTGATACAAAAATGGGTTCACGTTCGCGCAGTCCATCGGTGAAACGCCGCCATCACAAAAGCAAACATAAAAAACGCAGCAAAAGTAAGTCACACAATCGCGACAGGGAACGAGACCACGAGCACGAGCGCAGCAGCTGCACCCGCAGTAGTCGCACGGATAGAGACAAGTCAGCAGAGATTAATCAACATGGTCGACGAGAGCGCGATAGACATCGCAGCGACAGGCACACGCACACGCACCTGCACACACACACAGAGCGCGACTATCACCGGCACTCGCACTCCAAGTCCCGCAAGCGCTCCAGCTCATCGAGCAGTGATAGCCAGCAGTACTCGGACCATGAGACGCAACGCAGTCGACACAAACGCAGTCGATTTAAGAAACTAGATGAGGTAAACATTGAGCAGCAACTTACTGTATATTGTATTAACTAATCAATTTGGTTTCAGCAAAATTTACTTCAGGTAGAACGACTTGCCGAAATGGAAAGGCAACGTCGACAAAAAGAAGCTGAACAGAAAACGATTGAAGAGCAGGCGGCCAAGCGCATTGAAATGCTCGTTAAGAAACGTGTCGAGGAAGAACTCGAAAAGCGGCGCGATGAAATCGAACAGGAGGTGAATCGTCGCGTCGATACAGCCAAAGCGGAAATGGAACGTGATATGATGCTGGAGCTGGAGAAGCGACGCGAGCAGATACGCGAAGAAGAACGCCGTCGCGAGGTAGGTGCTCGTATTCAGATTTCGCTGGACGACTGCTGCTACCACAAATACCCAAACTACCAACTACCACACGCACAGTATACAGCCTTCGACTACAACTACCGAAAAACACACACATGTACAAAACCAATAGCAGTTGCAAACAGTCGTCTTGAAAAAACCCTTTTACGAATTTGTGTAGCGACGTTTCCAGTTACCAACTGTAATTACCAGGTGCTAAAGGCTCAGTTTGCCTCAAGTGTGTGTGTGTATGTGTGTGTGTTGGCGTGTGTGTATCAGAAATTAACTAATACTCATTTATAGTAAACTAAAAAAACGAGTCATGTTCTTGATACATAGATTGCTGAAGTAATTTGAAGAATTAGAGCCGATCAGCAACAGATTTCTCGGCTTGGAACAAGACTAGCTCCATTGCACTGCTAATCTACTAACATACCTTCATGCCATACCAATTAACTGATTAACATTTCGGTTCATGACCGCAACACACATTCATGCACACAGATACGCTGAGCCACTGGCCACGTCGCTGCACATTTCGCATTTCTCCTCCCAAATAATTTTTGTAATTATTATTTATTTTTTTCTACAAACCAAAACGAAAGAAAATACTCAAAGCCAAAAATGTGTCTTGCAGTTTTGACGCCCACAAAAGTGCATAATTCAATTTTTGAGTTACTTTTAGCTTCATCTATTCTTGTTTGATTTCATTTTGATTGGTTTCTGTAACTCGTTGTTGTTATTGTTACATAATGCGCGCAATATAATGCTTCGATCAAATGAGTGAGTGTGCCTGCGTGTGTGCCTGCCTGTGTGTGTGTTTGGGAGAGATGGGAGTATGTACGAGGGAACCACAAATACAACAAACAAACAGAGAAAGCAGTAAAAACACGAGCATATACATATACACACTTGTATATGTCGTATGTTGCCCCGCTTCCCTTTCACCCCAACCTAAGCAGGAGCTAATGCTTACGAAGAGAATTCGGCCACACGGATGAGAGCAACACTTCGCTCTCTAGGAGATCGTTCAAGATGTACCACACACATACATGCGTACTCCGTATCCCGTATCCCGTATCACGTATCACGTATATCGTATAACGCATACCGTACAGTTTAGTCAATAAAGTTTAGTGCCCGTTAGTTAGTACAGCTTGGCCTAGTATTTGGGGGCGGACATAGCATAGCTTAGCTTAGCTCCAACTGTACGAAGCATGCCAAAAACAAATAGGTTCCCATACACGGGCGCCTATTCATACCAATAAACGGGTGAGTGAGTTCCTTAAACAAAACGAAACGTGTGAAATAACCAAACGGATAAACAAACTTGAAGTGTGTTAAGTGTATGAACAATCATTCGAATGCGACGAATTAAGCATTACGAATGCAAATGCAAATGCAAATGCATAAATAAAACAAATAGTCTTTAAGGACTCTAAGCTCTCCCTCTAGGAACATTCGTCATAGGACCACCAAAGCTGATCAGACTTAAGATTGTTATCGTAACTCATAAGCCGGATAACCATTTGTCAATCAATGGGTATGACTGTACTTGTTGTTGTTGTCGTGCCACAAATGTTAATTTTATGTATGTTTGTTTTCTTCAAACATTTATCGTTTGATCGAGACGCTTTTATAATTTGATTCCTAAACACCAAAATATGTAATGTAATTCTGATTAAACAACTATGTAGCTGAATACCGTAAATCAAAATGCAAATTCGCAGCAAAGCCAAAAATTAACAAAATGATTTAGCCATTAAACTGGAAAAATGAACTATTTCAATAGTAAGTAGCAACAAAACAAAACAAAAAAAAACCAAAAAAAAAAATAGAATAAAATAAAAGAAAAACAAATAAAAAAGAAGACCAAATTTAAAGAAAACCAAATTTAAGTACATTTGTTAATGTTGTGTGCTCTTATTGTTAAAAATTAAATTTGCAAAAAAAACCAACTATTATTTAAACGTTTTTATTAGACACTACTAAATGTTTTTACTTTTTACAAATATCTTTCTATGTAATTTATTGTTAAACATTAAATTAGATCTTTAATACATATGTATATCTATATGCAGCCCATCAAAAATAAGATAAAAAGAAAATAACCGATAAACTTGCGTCCAAAGCCGCCGCTAAGTTTGCGTCGCCGATGTTAAAGATACAGTTTCTATATAATCATAACTAGACTTAAGCATTCGACGAAACGTTAAACTTGATTTATTAATACGCAATTTTATTTGGGTTTTATAGGAGGAGGAAAAGCAAAAACGAGAAGAGCTCGAAGAAATTTTGGCCGAAAATAATCGCAAAATCGAAGAGGCGCAAAGAAAATTGGTAAGTCCATATAATTTGCCACACCCAAACATTATCATTGATATTATAAAAATATTCCACAGGCCGAAGAGCGCTTAGCTATCATTGAGGAGCAACGTCTGATGGACGAGGAGCGCCAGCGTATGCGCAAAGAGCAGGAGAAACGAGTCAAGGAAGAGCAAAAGGTCATATTGGGCAAAAATAATTCAAGACCAAAGTTATCGTTTTCCCTGAAGCCTGGCGCGTTATGAGGCGTCGCGCAGCCAATAGTCGACGTTCCTTTCTGTCTTGTTAACAGCTTTTTGCTTTTCTTTTTTTTACATTTGTTTGATCACAATCTGGCGCTTTGCTTGCGCTTAAAACCAATGGAACGGGTTTCATTGTTGTAATTATATATTTTACTTGTTTTATTTTTTTTTAATTTTCGAAGTGCGTTTAACAGTTTTGATTGCAAGCAAGGTGACATCATGGGGGAGCGACCATTGTCTTCAACATACAATATGTAAACACAACAATACGACCAGACAAACGGACAGACATACTTGCATACGTATATAAAATAGTTTTCGTATATTGAAAAAAAAAAAGAATGGCCAACCTCTTCGATTATAAAATATAATACAGCTCTTCGTAGTACAATATGCTAGCAATTTACTTACATTTTTTATACATACACTGCATATGTGAGAAAAATGATTATGTGTAGTGCGTCGTAATGTTTGCATAATGCTAAAACGAATTGCAAATACAACAATGAGAAATCGCGAACTATGTACTCCCAATTTTTGATAATGCTAAAAAGAAATTCCCATTAAGCAAAATTGATAATAAAGCGTTTCGTATACATAACTATTTCGTTTTATTTTTCGAATGTTTTTTTCAGTGTCTTGAACCATGGTCCTGGAGTTGAGGCGGTAGAAGTGAAGATAATCGCTGAATCTCAATAATTTAATTTATGTTGGCCTGCAGCTCTGATGCAAAGAAGGTTTTAATTTCGAATCCTAAGTTAAGCCATCTATTAAATAATTAATAAGCAAGACTATTATACAATCGACAGCAATCTTAAGCCTGCATCGATACGAATATCTGAAAGTTATTGTTTGAAATAATTGAAATGAAATGAAAAATATATGTCAGGTATAAGCTGGTCCGTGCCTCTTTCTTTATTCAGCCTGTTGGATAAACCTTGCCACTTTAGCTATACAAAAATATGAAAATATATTCACTGAAATAGAAGTACAAGTTAAAATTATAAAATAACATGATTATAGTGATTATATGATTAGCTAAGGTCTGAATTTATGTATTTGAAGCATTTACGCTTAGAGCTGGTTACAAAACAAGTTTTCGTAGTGATCCCTCAGTAGATAACAAAAATAATTTCCGACTATCTTTTCCATTTTAAAGTTTTTTATTATAGCCTTGAAAAAGTTAATTTTATTATGCATTCTTTTGATATATGTTTTGCTGATAACATTAAATAAGATTTGCTCGTTTTTTGTGATTTTTTTTTTTTATCATTTTCCAGCTTGTTTCTTGGTTATGCTAGCACATCTGATATATAAGTATATATATGTATATATAGACGCATACGTATATACATGAATTACTTAATTTTTGTTTGGTTTTTGTTTTTGTTTTTTGTTTAATGCAATATATGCAATTTATTTTTATTGAATCGCTAGCTCAAATTAAATTTCCATTCATCAATCAGCCAACAATTTTCATTTTCAAGTCTTTCAATTTGTAAGGTTTTCTGCCAATTTGCCAGCCAATCGAACATTCATTAGCAGCTGAAGAAAGCAGAAAGTTTTACAGCTTATATAATTGCACTTGAGAGTTTTTTTTTTTTTGTTTCTTTTTTTATAGTTTAAGAAAGTTAAGGAATAAAGGAACAAGAGGAAAATAAATACTTTTTACACACTTATTCATGTGTTTTTTTGTTGTTTGTTTATTTTAAAATAATATTTTGCATAAAAAAGAACAAATGAAAATATTAAATAATAATTAAAAGTATATAGTTATGAAATTATATGAAACCAAAGATAAAAACAAAAAAACCAAAAACAATAAATTGCAAACATTTCAAAAAATTACATAATTTCAGCTATGAAATTAAAAATATGTAATATATAATAATTTTATGGAGAGAAATAATTAAATGTTATAGTTATATGATAAGTTTATAAGTTATAGTATATACAGCTTCCATTCGTCAACAATCTCAATCTCAAATATTTCGCATTTAATTTTAACATTCACTTAGTTTTCTCATTTTTCATTTTTCGAAATTCTGGCTTATATGCTGGCCCAAAAAACAAAGCGTTTGAATCACGCTCAAATTAATTATTATTAAATTTTATATATTTTTACTTTTGTTTTCATGTTCTTGCTGTTGTTGTTGTTGTTGTTGTCGTTTTAGGTCCCACACAATTTCGCTAATTTATACAAATATATGTTTTCACAATTATTACAATTTTTGTTTTTTTTTTTTTATATTTTAAATATTATTAAGTTGCCTTTTGTTTTTTGATTAGTTTGCTGACTAAATTAAATTTCAATTGCAAATAGGAAATAGTTTTTATTCTTGCATTTTGTCTAAAATTTGCTTCTTCATTTATTATAGCCATAATTTAAATAAATATTTATGTGTGTGTGTGAGTGTTTATGAAATTATGAGTGTGTGTGTGTTTGTGTATGCATAAATATTGATAAATGGTTTTTTGTTTACATACATAAATATATATATATGCATACATATATATATGTATGTTTACATGTATGTGTAGTATATTACTTTTACATTAAATGTGTAGAAAAATTCGTTAAATTGATTTGCGTATAGTTTTTTTTTGGTTTTGTTTAACTATTTGTGTTAATCTTTTCATTAGCCACAAATACAAATTGTTGGCTTGTCAAATTTGTTTTATGCAGTCATTTATTGTTTAAACATTTAATTTACTACGAGTTGTGCAATGCAGTTCTGCGTTTTTTGTTTTGTTTTTATAATTTAAATTTGTTTTCATTTTCAATTTGGCTGCAGTCTAGTGTTTAATTCGATTTTGTTTATTATACATATTGATATACATATAGTATTTTTAAATATATATATATTTATATTTAAATATATATATTTATAAATCTGTTTAGTGCAAATGCTAAAAATTGTTAGCTTTAGCTCCACAAAAAAATTTGTTTGACCACACGAACACACAGCGTCCACGCGCAGTGGCAGTCGAACTGTAGCAGCAGCAGCAGCAGCAGCTTCAAATTCACCACAGACACGCAACAGTGGCTCGTAAACTGTATGACACTTGGCTCGATGGCTCTAAAACTTTGCAAGTTCTAACTGCTGCTGTTGCTGCTTTTACTACCGCTGCTGTTTTGGGTCGGCTCCGTGTGGCGTTGCGCATCCGGCGCTAGGTAACCATCTTGACAAATAAAAGCGCCAATAGTATATTGACAAAGAGCACAAGCAGCATCAGCTGGCGTCGCACGAACCAATCCTGTTAAGAGACAAGTGGACATTAAGTAGCTGCCACAGCTATCAGCTTACAGCGCGCTCACCTTAACTTGCGGACTAACCAAATACAGCAAGGGATTCGCCCTGAGGCGTTCGTTGTCTTCGATTTGACGACGCACGGCCTCGCGACGTGCCGAGCCCAGGGCGGAGACCTCCTCGCGACTCATGGCCTCCGTGGCGCGCGGCAGCTCCTGGAAGTCGGGCATCGACTTCTTCCGCTGCAGCGACACATTGATGGGCACCGTCTGTAGCAAATGGAAAGAAAGGCAACTCAATGTTAGTTATGCAAGCGACTTGTTTAGGTCGTCAGCTTGTTGCATGCAACACCACCTCAACTGGCGGCTCGACAATCCAGCTTTCGCTGGCTCGTCGCGCCAACAGAGCCGGCGAGAACATCAAGTCCTCCTCATCCTCCTCGGGATACCAGTCCATGTTGTGTCCGCTTTTAGCTTCACAATTGTACAACAGCCAGCGCAAGAGCTTGCATAAGTCAAGCACTCAGTACCGTTCAGTGGCGCCACCTCCAACTTGTAAACGAGTTGAACATGACGCTAGAATTTTTACTAAACACTTATAATGCCAACGACACTTGTGGCCAAATGGTCGTTGCCAGCAATGCGCCCCAATGGCCAAAAATAGTCCAACACGCACGGCAATGAGCCAAAGCAACAACAACAATTATAAGTAAAGAATCCCGCCTTCGCCTCTGGTTCTGATCTTCACAATTCTTCAGCACTAGAATAATATATGCTAATATATATATATATTTATATATATATAAATATATATAGTTTGTTTAAAAACGAGAAAGTGGAAGCGGAATCTTGATCTTAGCCGCTGCCTCTGACGGCATCAACGCGTCTTTTGCTACTACCAAAGAGCCCACGAAAAGTGTCGCCAGCCAGCGACAATTGAGCGCAGCGACAAATCCAATTCCAATGGGCAACCGCCACCACTTGTGAAGTGTTCATCGCATTCAGCAAAAGAGAGCGCAGTCAGCCACAATTGTGATCAGCGAGTCGCATATGCATTCCATTCTGGCCTGCACTCACTTTTCACTATAAATAGCCGGAGAATGGGCACATGTTCCGTCCGGCTCTCGCTCTCGTCGTTGCTCTCTTTCTGTTGCGCTCTCGCTCTCACTTTTATATTGGCAGCTATTCTTGTTTTGGCCAGATATATGGCCTACGAATTAAGTTAATTGCACGGATTAACTGAGTTATGAAATATTTGGGAGCAGCCTGCCCGGGACTTTAATAGGCAGACGCGTGCAGCTTAATGAGCCGCATAGAAAGTGAAGATGAACTTAATTGAGACTTCTGATTGTAGCTTTGCGTGGCTCGTAAATGGGTCATCATATGTAAATAAAGGATTTCCTAAACTGCTATAAATATTTGAATTTCATTTTGTTTACGCACAAAGTTGTCATTGATATTGAAGCTTCTCAAAAGACCAAAAGCAATTTCTCTTCCCATATGATTCTCACTACTGTTTATACTATCTAAATTATTAATTAATAAAATAAAATTATTAATTGATAAAAAAAATAATAATTAATAATATTAAAATTAATAAGAAAATAAATAATGTTTCTAGTCTGTTCAACTTGCTTAGTTCAGAAGAAAATGTCTAAAGAATTTTATTCTATTTCATTTATTTTGAGTCTTGCCTAATTGTAAAGGAAGTGGGGAAATTCGTAATATGAGCTTGTAAATGAGGAAACAGTAAAGTTTCTAAGCTTGCTATCTTTTAATTATATTCAGCAACTATCGAGTATTATTCACCTAAAATTAATTATCAAATATTCAGCTTAAAATACTTTAGTTCCATATAATTTTCAGTTGTTTCTATAAGCACTCATTTCTTCAGTCTTTGATCGATCTAACACCCAGTTGACTTACCTTCATTTTCTTGCCACCACCGCCGCCGCCGCCGCCACCACCTTTGCCGCCCATAGCCACACCCACCGGTGTCGCGGGCTTAGCTGGCAAATATAAGCTTTCCGTACGTTTGGGTTGCAAGGGCGAGGGAATGATATCCTGACCGAGCGTACGTTGACGCAGCAGCACATCCTCGAAGGGCTGATTGGGCGACGAGAAGAGCGGCTCCGCGGCATTGCTCTGGCTGGGCGCACGCCCACCACTGCCCAAGCTTGGTGTGCCGGCGCGCGACAAACGTCCACCGGCACCCGAAGGCAGCGAGCCGTTGCCGGTCATCGTCGAGGTGACAGTTGAGCCTGATGCGCCCGGCACTGGTGTAGTGCCCCGAAATACTGAGCCCGCTCGTGGACGGCCATCCGGAGTGCTGGCACCGCCGCCATTGGGCATGGCATCAGCCAGCCCGGAGCGATCCAGCGAGGCCTGGCGGGAGCCGGCAAGGGCACCGCTCATACGGCTAGCCGCACGTGCATAGCGATCGATGGACGAGTCCCGGCTGGGTGGTCGCTTATAATGGTCAAAATGATCGATGGACGACTGCTGCCCCATCTGGCCCAGCATGGGTGGACGCTGGCCGCGCGGCTGTTGCTGCGCAGCGGCCATGGCGGCGGCATTGGCGGCAGCATCCGACAACTGTTGCTGCTGCTGCTGGGAAGCGCGACGCAACAGGCTGGCACTGTTATGACTAGGCGAGGAGTGCAAAGAAGGCTGCTGCTGCTGCAGCTGTTGTGTCTGTTGCAGTTGTTGTTGCTGCTGCTGCTGCTGTTGCTGGTAGAGTCTTTGTTGCTGCTGCTGTTGCTGTAGTTGCTGCTGTTGCAGCAACTGTTGCTGGTGCTGCTGCTGCGGCGACATGTTGCTGATGTTGCTCGGCGCGACATTGGGATTGCCGGCACCAAAAGGCGCCTGCTGATTCAGTTTGACACCGCCGGGTGGTTGCTGCTGTTGGAACTGATATGCAGGATTCATTTGTGGATTGCTCTGTTGCAGCTGCTGTTGTTGCTGCTGCTGCTGTTGCTGCTGTTGCTGTTGGTGCTGCTGCTGGTGATACATTTGATTGATGGCGCTGACGACCTGCGCATGGCTGGGCTGCGCTTGGCTAACCAGACCAGAGAGATCCGTCTGCGGCGAGACGGGCAGCTGCTGCGAGTACATGGACGAGGGTACCGGGCACTCGGACTCGTGTTGCTGCTGCGACATGCGTCGCTGCTGCTGCTGCATGTTCAAGTATTGCTGCTGTCGCTGCGCCTGCGTGGCGTATGCATCCGAGCCGGAGCCACCGCCACTGCTTGCCGGCGAAAACTGTTGCTGCACGGACGTCGGCGGCTTAGCGCCAGCCATGCCCAAACTCATATCTACATTGGTTTGGCTCGGAGCGCCGCGGAAACGTTCGCGTTCACGATAGCGCAGCTTCTCGAAGCGCTCAAGCACCGAGGGCTTGAAGTCGGGCGCGAATTCGCGTGCCATGCGTACGGCGTTCTCGCAGTCGATGCGCGCCTGCTCGGCGGCGACGTCCGCGTTCTGTGCCTTGGCAGCGGCTGTGGCCATGCGCGAGATGGCCATATCGGAGCGCTGCATAGCCATTTTAAGAGCGCGCTGCGCGGAATTGACGGCGGCCGTGATACGGTCACGGAATTTGCGCGAACGCGCCAGGAACAAATGCTTTTTCTTCTGGCTGCTGATCAATATGTTGTTCTTGTATTTGCCCTCCTCGACGGTACCATCACGAAACGTGGTCACACCATAGCCATGCTTGCGATTGTTATACCACTCGCCTTCATATCTGGGATGGAATCAAGGGATTAGTTGTCTGTAATATATTAATCCGCGTTGCCCACTTACTTGAGTCCGTCGCTGCGCTCGGCAACGCCGTGTCCGCAGCGCTTGTCCTTCTTCCATTCGCCCATGTAGGTCTCCACTACCGTGGGATCCAGTTGCTCGTCCTCCATGGTGAAACTGGCATTGGACTCTGTGTGCGCAGATCTGTAGAATGAGAAATATATTGGTAATTAGCACCGCTTGTTCACGAACTCTATACAATCAATTAAGCTAAAATGTATTTATTATATGACCAGGCTAGTTATTAGTTAACTTTGTGCTGGGCTACTTAAGACGGGCAGACAATGGGGCTCAAATCGTTCCTCTCAAAGATGTTTCCAATATTTTATCGTTGTTTTCGCCTTTCCTTATCTACTCTCCTAATGAATTCTCACTTACTTCGTGGTCAAATTGGACTGCTCGGAGCCGGTGCTAATCCATGAGGCCGATGACATCGTGGATCTAATGCTGCCCGAGGCAATGGTGCCACGTTTTTCTAAATCTCCAGTGCTGCGCTGTTTACGCATTTTCAGACCCTGGGAAAACAAAGAAAAAACATAAAACATATGAGGCAAAATATTGAGAATTTGCTGACTTACCATTAGAAATCCCTTCTTCGTCTTCTCTGTGAGGCTGTTGCGCCGCACGGGCAGCTTATCTGACTTGGCGGTCAGCACAAAGCCTCCACGTATCTCCTCCGTCTTCTCGGGCGCTTTGACAGCATTGCCATTCTCGGCGCTGCGCAGGGAGCTTAACGAGGCGTGCAGATTCTTGCGACGATGATGCGAGGCGAGGCCGAAGGGCGCCGAGGTGCGTATGCCATAGCCATGCCGCTTGCCCTCCTGCCACTGACCCTGGTATTTGCCTGCAAGACAGGAAACAAAATAGGCCATTAGATCGTGCTCTCCCCTCTCGTTCGCCCTTTGTTGGCCAATTAAAATGCAAATGATAAATTCAACCGCAGTGTGTGACCTCATTGGAATGCCTTAAGCCAGAACTGTCGGCTGCGTCTACTTGGCATGGAATACATTCATTAGCCGGCAGCCCACTCGTAGGCATTGCTGGAAGTAACTAGTATTCTATTAATGACTCCACGTGTCTTGCGCCATTTAAAGACCTTACCTAAGGACGGAGCGTTCGCCTTTATATTGTGCTATTCGGAAGGAATGTCGGAAGCAGGTTGGGTTATTTAATTAGTAAATGTTGCTGAGGCTTAGCAAATGACAATTTATAGTTGTTGCCCGACAAACAGAGGGCAAACATTTGCATAGTTAACTCAACTGGATTAAAGGTTACTGCAGCTATTCACAAGGTGTCCACTGTTGCTATTTGCGGAGAGCCCCTAATAAAAAGTTCTAAATAAAGCGGCAAGAGCTAAATACTCGTATATTGCAGTTAGCCTGGCAACTAAGACCGTTTGGAAGTTAATCGTTTGTACCAATCCTATATAAGAAAATAACACTTTTACAACATGACCAGTTTTATATTCTTGTCTAATAGATAAAGTCAATTTGTAAGGCGATTTGAAATCTATTGGAGAAGTTTTCAATGAAACTCTTAAAGCTGATGGGCTAATTCAATAGCTCAATTAAGACAGCTTTTGTAAATTTAACCTGACCAACTAAAGATCTCTGCCAAAATAACCTTAAGCATAGTATATAGGCAAGCACATGAATCGATGAGCCACATTTGTGAATAACAACCTGAATACATTATGAGTGCATCGCATTTATGCACAATGACATTTCGTGAAACAATGTAAACTGCAAGTATATTTTAATTTTTGCATATAATATATTTAGTGTGTGCACACACACCCACACCGCACAAGGCAATGCCTATATACATATAGTAGATGGAGAGCCATATGCTCGGGGTCCAATAGGCGAGCTAACCGAATTTCCCCAGAAAAAACCAACTCATGTTGCAAAAATGTTTCAAAAGAAAAACGTAAAAAGACTAAGGAAAATATGACGTCAGGCTGTGGTCACTCTCAGTGTGTGTGTGACGGCTTTGTGTGCGAGAGATTTTGGTTTACCGGCAAGCCAAGAACAGAGCATTGAAAGGGGCTACACGAGAGTACACACATACAAGCACACGCACATGGACAGGCGCCGAATTATTACAGAAATGTCAAAAAGTAAAATAAAACAATAAATTGATTTCAGCTGCCTCTGTTGCTGTTGTTGTGCTTTCAAAATATGCGCGGGCCAGGAAATAGACGCGGAATGATCTCATGCATCAATTGAAATTACGTATACGTAGCGTGAACCACTTACCGCCATCCGCATAGGTCTCGCAACCGGAACCATCCTGATAGCCCTCATTCCAGGTGCCCTCGTACTTGGCCGTCGACACAGTGCTCTCTCGTACACCGTAGCGTCCCTTATGCCCATCCTTCGACCATTCACCGCGATAGATCTGTCGTCCAATCTGCTCCACACCCAGACCATGTCGCCGACCATTTTGCCACTGCCCCTCGTAGTGTGATCCGCTATAAGAAGTAGAATAATATAAGATAGAGAAACGATATTTTGCACAGATGTTCCAATTGCTACTCTTTCTCTACATACTAGCCCGCATTCTTAGAGCGACTAATTAATTATCGATATTCTATTTATCCAAATGAAAAGCCCACTAATCAAATAGTCTGTTCCATTCCTTAATCTATAATATAACGAGCAAACAGGATGCAGAAAAACTGAATGAAATAAATTTCATATATAATGCGATCGTGTAATTGGAATGCTGTCTTCCTCCTCTCAGCTGCATTAAATACACCTTTTTAAATATTTTACGTATTTTATTCCCCATCTATTTATCCTTGATTAGTACGGTAACAAATGAGTTTTAGCAAATTGAATAAATAAACAAATTTTGTGTTTCACCAACTTTTGGGTGCACAATTCGCACCTATGCCTTCTCTTCCTCTTTTCTATCCTTGCCATTCACACGAAATGCATCTAGAAAGCGTTGCCACCTAAGCAAACTTAAGCTTACATTTATGACGTCACTGCATTCAAAATATTGTTTAAAGTTTCTCTTGTCTAATTTATAATAAAGTTGTAAATTCCATTTGGAATTTGGCAATTATATTATATGCAAAACTAATTAAAAGTCTGTTAATTGCTCTAAAACAAACATTATGAAGTTACCTGGGCCAAATGTACGATCCGGATACTTCAAAGCCATAATTCCAGGCACCAGCATACGCGCCCTGATGTTTGGGCCCGGTGCAGACGCCATGACCATGGGCTTTGCCCTCGTCCCAGCCGCCGCAGTAGGTGCCGCCGTCTTCAAAGTCAAAGCGGCCGCCGCTCATTGGGGCGCGCTTAATACCGGCGGCGGCAGCGGCTTGGGCAGCGGCATAGGCGGCCATATCGCCGCCATTTTGTTGCAGCTGCTGTTGCTGTTGTTGTTGTTGAAGCTGTAGCTGTTGTTGCTGCTGTAGCTGTAGTTGTTGTTGCGTTAGTTGATCAGCCTGTTGCATACTCAATGCTTGTTCCTACGGTCTATGGCTGTCGTTTGCTTCTCTAACTCTTCTTCTTACTAGTTTCTACTACTAATTGTTGTTGTCGCTTTGAGCTTTTTATGTTTTCGTATGTTGCGCATTGATTTACTGCTCAATTGTTGCTGTTGCTGCTGCTGTTGTCCTTGTTGCTTTTGCTTCATTTGCATTTGTTTGTGTTAAATCTAACTTTTAGTTCGTTTCGCTTAATTTCGTTTTTAGTTGTGTTGTATTTGGTTTGTTACTTGCTTGTTGACTTCTGCTTAACTTAAAGTTAGTTTAGCCTGGGTGATTTGTATTAGTTAGTTTGTTGGTTTTTCACTGAAACGCGAAAGTTGTAACTTCTTTTTATCTTCTTATTTTGATTTAATTTGCCTTCGACTTGTAGCTTTTCAATCAATTATCGATCAAGTTTCTATCGCGGGCATCTCAAAATTATCGATCTGTATGCTAATATCGTAGGCCATCATTGGATAAGCTGCAAGGCTGCAAAGAAAAGTATAAACTTAGGTTACAATTGTTGCTCAAACACATCCAACATGATTTAAATATTTTGTTTACAATAAAAGTTGTTATCGGTGCATATTTTTGCTATCGATAACTAAGCTGTGCTAAACTTGAACACTTTATATAACTTGTTTTTATGAAATTAATAATTTATTTTATATAATATTTATTTCGTTTATGCAACCAATCCAGCTCTGTCTGTATATAAATATAAACAAAAGTGTTTTTCGCTTATAAACATTTAAGTAAAAGCTGAAAGTTGCAGCACATTAAGTTTATGCATTTTCCAAGTTGATTTATAGCGCGATTTAATTGATTTTTATCTGTCGAAATGTAAAGGTTTTTGCTTTATTTTTTTAATTTTTTTCTTTTAGGCACGCGCGCCACGAAATGTTTATGATGTAAATAAAATATATGGATATGAGAGTAGCCAGAGCAAGAAAATATACCTCAAATGAAGAGAATAATTGATGATGATGATGATGCAGATGATGATGATGTATCTTGGCTTTTGTTGATGTAGTTTGTTGAGATGAAATGTAATTGCAATTGCAACGCGATGCTCGCATATAAGTGTGTGTGTGTATCTGTGTATTCGACTATGTGTGTGCGTGTGTGTAGCCCGCACTGTTGTTTGTTAATAACAAAAACGATTTTCGTTTCGAGTTTTGCTTGGCACCGGGACTATCGAAATTTATAGCCGCAAAACAGCATCATCTTGTGTATATAATATAGCCTAGCTATATCTATAGATATACTCGTCTCTGTGCGTGTGTGTGTGTTCGTGGGTGTGTGTATTCGCGTCAAAGGCCAAACGAAAAGAAATTCTCAATGGCGGGCCGTCGTTTTGAGTGGGAGGCAGCTGCAGGTTGCCACGCTCAGCTGTTGCCCGGTGGCAGCCACTCGCTGTGGCAGCCACTCGCTACGCGATCAACGAGTGGGGGCACTCGCTTGTTTATTTGTCTGAACGTAGGCACGATTGTAGTAATAAAATATTATGAAGATTGCATAGTAGCAGACAAATGCCATGCACAGCACTCGCAGAGTTTTCATTTTCTTCTCTTTGCTTTTGTCTTATTTATTTGTGGATTAGATCAAAGTTTTTGATATGTGGTAAATTGTATTAGCTGTTGTTGGTTTGGTTTCTTTTTTTTTTTTTGTAGTTTTGCCAAGTAGTTTTTAGTATTATTATTTTCTTTTTTACTGCCTCGTAATTATTTATGTTGCTCGGCCATTGGGCTTTTGCTTTCATTAAGAGCTATGTAATTTCTGTGGCTGGGCCATGTGTTAATCCTACAAATATATATATGCATATATATATAGATATAGGGTTGTTTTTTTTTGGTTATAGATTTCTTTGTTTGTCTTAATGTATAAACGAATTGAGTTGAAAATTTGTTGTTATAAATTTGTTGTGATTCATTTCATATATTGAACTTTATGTGTATAAACAATAGTTTGTAATTATAATTTATGAAGTTCTGCATAGACATTTATGTTAATTAGTGAATATATTGAAACACCACATTTTTTGGATTTTTTACAGATGTTTTATATGTTTTATAGATGCTTCAATAAAAGATCTGCACAAACCGAACCGAACCGAACCGAACTGAATAGAACTTAAAGGTTTCACATTGCCTCGAACCATTAAGAGAAGACAGCAAAATCTATAATATATTTAATATATTCAATTTACATAAGAAAAAGCAGGTTTCCATGAGGAAAGTTCAACGAAGAACATCATTATATATATTATACTTAAGCATTTATATATTCAAAATATCACATCATATTTAATTAGTAGATATTCAGCATTAATTCCATTCCATTTGCAATAATTTCCCAAAAAAGAAAAATAGAATATATATTCAATTTCTTAAAGAATTCCATAACAACAATGTCTGCACGATGAAGAAGAAGCAAAGCAACAACAATGCCAACGAGCAGGAAATGTGCGCTTAACGCACATTGTGTATACGCCATGTGGCTCAGTGCCTAATGCTACGGAATTGCGATATCATTGGGTTGGTTAAACCAGAGCTCCAGCGGAAATTGTTTATTTGGAAATTCTTCACTCTGTTGCAAATAATTTACAGTTTTATTGTGGCATGAGAAAGATGGAGAAAGAGAGCGAGAGAGACACAGAGACTAAACGGATGCTGTGCATTGGCTTATCACATGGTTGAGAGGAATTTTGTGTCTGCGTGTGCTGGGCGTGGTTTCCATAGAAGAAGGGCCAAAATATCCACCTGCTGACAGCAAACACAATACAAGTGCGTTAGCTGTGCAGTTGTGTTGCCTATCATTGTTTTTAGCTAATCAAGCAACTTTAAATGTAAAGTCTTAAAGATCAGCTAGGATTATTTACAAGAAAATCCCTAATAGACAAACGACTGTGGAGTTATATTATAACACATTGTTATATAATATAATTTATATAATATAAATTTATGCTTATCTCATCTATTTAAAGTCAAACTGGCATTAGAGTTAATGAAATGAATATAATATAAAATAATGTCATACTATATCATATAATATAGTATATAGTCTATATATTACAATAAGATTTATCTTAAAAAATAAAACAGTATTTTATAAAATATGTAGAATACGAATTTTCAGATATAATAAAAGTTAAATAGATAAGGAAAATGTTGGGATTTGTCAAGAAGACGATACATTCTATCACTTAAATTAACAAAAACTCTGAGTAAAGAGATAGAAGATTGCTTAGAATCAAGCAGGATCTACTTTATGATCTTATGTGTTCTCTCACTTCCAAAGCTTTGCTCATAAGACTTTGATTTTCATAATACCAGATATTTCCTTTAAAACAGAAGAGACGAACACGAAGCATCTTTGCAATAAATAAGAGACAGAAAGGGAGAGATATTGTGTGAGAGAGACAGGCAATGCAGATCAGCCATTTAGTAAACTAAACATACTAAATCTCTATTAACATGTAGAGACTTTTAAAACAATTTTAAAAAATGTTGAATTGCATGATTAGCTCCCCCTGAAACATAGATTCTCTTTTTTGAAAACAACAGAACTTTATCTAGTCTATTTTGGTTTTATATTAGAATAGAGTACATTAAAAGATTTGTAAAAAATATATTCCGATTCAAATCTATTGCATTTTATAATTAAGTCATAACAGTTTTTAGCTTGTCAGCTCGATATATCTTATATTTGAAATACTGTTACTTTTTTCAGTTTTACAATTATTAATTTTATATTATACAACTCTCATTTCTTACATTTTCTAAATGCTTTGCATAAATATTATTCATTTTATGGCATTAATATTAATTTGTATACTTAACATCGATCGATTGAATATGATTGTATAGCAATTGGAGTACTATAATATAATCGATATAGCTATTCATAAAATGTACCGCAAGCATTTTAGCCACTTTTTTTATATATTTTTTTATTCTGCTGCTCGGTTTATTGTTCTCTTGCGGTTGCCGAGCAAACGAAACGAGACGAAACGAAACGAAATGAAATAACAAAAAGAAATTCAAATTTGAATTTGAATTTGAATTTGAATTCTTCTGAAGCTTTTGTTATTAATAGCAAAATACACACACCGAGCAGAGGAGCTGCGCTCCGAGGGGCCAGCAGAGCTGAGGCGGCAGAGGCGTGGGGCTGCTGTCTCTGGCTGCCAATGTTATTTTGTTTAAACATTAATGATGATGAAAACACACGCTTCGTACAGTGCATGCGATTGTATTCGCACTCACGGCGTCTACTCCCCTTTCGCCGCCCTGTTCTGCTTACAAAGTGAAGAAATTTTCGGGATTGTAGAGTCGAAAAAATAAATTCGTAGCATAAACAGCAGCAGACAGCGCGCCAAATGCTGCAGGCAACATTTTCTTCTCCAGAATGGGAGCCATAAATTTCCCAGCTCTAAGCAGCAAAAAGAAAAGCAAAACAATTTCGAATACGAAATTCAACTACAGCGGCATCATTCATGCCAAACATTGTAGATTATGTTATGAATATGTTGCTTTCCACAGAACAACATTATCGACAGTGACAACACAAACCCAAATAGCATATATACTTTAATTGAAAATCCAAATCTTTCTACCTTTTAAGATTTTGTAGTATTTAGTTAGAAGCGTGTCAAATTTGTTCATAGTTTATAAATATATTAATAATATATTTTTAATTGACTTTCAACGGAAGCAATAAGACATCTTATAAAAATATGTTGACTTTTGAGACTGTGGAATATATACAAATATATTATATAGATATATATATATGTAATATATAATATAAATATAGTATATAATTGTCTCCTGTCATTCAGTCAACAAATTGGTATATAAATATTTATATATATATAAAGAAAATTTAAGTACTTATTATTTTTAAATAATAATAAACAAATTTAAAAATTACTTCAATATTTATATAAGGTTATCATAAGTATCAATGTATATATAGACGTCATAAATTTTTTAAAAAAATTTTAAACGCTATACGGAAATATTAATTTTCATTTCTTTTTTGTTTTTGCGACAAGCAAAACAAGAAATATTTAATATTTCTCTTTCCCTTCCATCATTCCATTTGGATTGTAGTACTGTTATTATGTAAGCATATATAAAAAAACATGCTTGAGATTCAAAAACATTTTCTATAAATTTTCCTTAGCTGTCTCGAACAAGTTTTTATTTCTGCATTAGAAAAGTAATAAAATTTATTTAATTTAAAATCTGATATGCTTAGCATTCGTATAGTAAGCTTTTGGACAGATGTACAGATTGTACTAATATTAAAATAGTGCAGACAAATATATATATATGCAAGCATATATTGAATTTATTTATAATGAAAGTCAAAGCATCTTAAAGTAGGTATTTTTAATAATTTATGTAAAAGGAAATAAAGGATGCGTAAACAAGGCACTGAGAGGAAACGGAAGAAATTTAAAGAAAAATTCTTTAAAAATAAAA